CGGATTATCGAGACACCTAAATTTATGTCAAACAAACGGTGCAGGTGACATATGGTTGAACTGCACGTGAATTTCATGACCTAAAAACAGGATGATTTTTATCAAAGTTATAAGCAGCGGTGGTGGTATGGTAGAAAAATAATTTGAATCTTACGTCATCAATATTGATTTCCTTATTAACAAAATCGTGTGTTGCTTTCAACTAAAAAGATAAGTATATAATATATCGGGTCCGTTGATAAGGAAATACTACATATTATGGTTAATTACACAGGAAACGGTAAACATTATCAATAAAGCGACGCACTACCAGTGCTATTAGTACTGATATAGCTCTAGTGTCCCCCGGAGCGGCTTGTAACGTATATATAATTCACATGTCCGATGTCAAGATTTTGCAGATCCGTGATAATGAGTGATTGATGTGTGATTCTGACTCACCTCTTTGTCAGAGATACGATTGACAGGTGTTTACTATACCACTGTTCAATACACATTCTTTTCTATATTTAGATATATTGTGTTCTGTTCTGATATGTATATCTACAGAAGAGAGAAAACTGACGTTTTCAATAACAATGTAATTATGGTAATTACCAGGTATTGACACACAACTTTTAGTACATATGGAATCCTAAATAAACAGATTTTACAAAAGACCGTAATTGAAATCCTCTATCAATACAAAAATAAATAGAAATAGTAAATCCATATTATGAATGAAACTTTATCATACAACTGTTACTTCCTTCGGGGACTCGTCAGGGATGCTACATCATACAACTGTTACTTCCTTCGAGGACTCGTCAGGGATGCTACACCATACAGCTGTTACTTCCTTCGGGGACTCGTCAGGGATGCTACATCATACAACTGTTACTTCCTTCGAGGACTCAATAGGGATGCTACATCATACAGCTGTTACTTCCTTCTGGGACTCGTCAGGGATGCTACACCATACAACTGTTACTTCCTTCAGGACTCGTCAGGGATGCTACATTATACAACTGTTACTTCCTTCGAGGCCTCGTTAGGGATGCTACACCATACAACTGTTACTTCCTTCGGGGACTCGTTTGGGATGCTACACCATACAACTGTTACTTCCTTCGAGGCCTCGTTAGGGATGCTACACCATACAACTGTTACTTCCTTCGGGGACTCGTTTGGGATGCTACACCATACAACTGTTACTTCCTTCGGGGACTCGTTTGGGATGCTACACCATACAACTGTTACTTCCTTCGGGGACTCGTTTGGGATGCTACACCATACAACTGTTACTTCCTTCGAGGACTCGTCAGGGATGCTACACCATACAGCTGTTACTTCCTTCGAGGACTCAATAGGGATGCTACATCATACAGCTGTTACTTCCTTCGGGGACTCGTTAGGGATGCTACATCATACAGCTGTTACTTCCTTCGAGGACTCGTCAGGGATGCTACATCATACAGCTGTTACTTCCTTCTAGGACTCGTCAGGGATGCTACACCATACAGCTGTTACTTCCTTCTAGGACTCGTCAGGGATGCTACACCATACAGCTGATACTTCCTTCGGGGACTCGTCAGGGATGCTACATTATACAACTGTTACTTCCTTCGAGGCCTCGTTAGGGATGCTACACCATACAACTGTTACTTCCTTCGGGGACTCGTTTGGGATGCTACACCATACAACTGTTACTTCCTTCGGGGACTCGTTTGGGATGCTACACCATACAACTGTTACTTTCTTCTAGGACTCGTTTGGGATGCAACACCATACAACTGTTACTTCCTTCGAGGACTCGTTTGGGATGCTACACCATACAACTGTTACTTCCTTCGAGGACTCGTCAGGGATGCTACATCATACAGCTGTTACTTCCTTCGAGGACCCGTTAGGGATGCTACACCATACAACTGTTACTTCCTTAGATGACTCGTTTGGGATGCTATACCATACAGCTGTTACTTCCTTCAGTACTCGTTAGGGATGCTACACCATACAGCTGTTACTTCCTTCGAGGATTCGTTAGGGATGCTAAACCATACAGCTGTTACTTCCTTAGATGACTCATTTGGGAGGAGGGGCAGGGAGATGAGATGATGGACAGGCAAGGTTTCAGAAAAAGTGTAGGAAGATGAGATGATGGACAGGGAAGATTGGAGGAAGAGAGTAGGGAGATGAGATGATAGACAGAGAAAGCTAGAAACACTTGAATAAGAATATGGAAACGAACAAGGTAAAAGGAAGGCATGGGAAAGACATTAGGTGGAAAATGAAGAGACGGAGGTAAAATCAATACTATTATTGAAAAATCGAAGTTCAGTTTGGTTAGATATGCCAAGCTTAAGAATTAAATAGATACAAAAGTTAGATAAAAATCAATAAAATATTAAAATCATTATTCAATCAAGCAAACAAGGACAAATAGCTCCCCTTTATCGTCGACAGCCGCCATATAAATCACGGCCAATTAAAGTAGGTGAAATTAGAGCAAAGCAAATAACAACGAAATCATCTGACATTTTAACGAGCATCAACCACGTCCAGTCGCACAAGAAAACGTTTATTGTTTTAAGTAACAAACAGCTTGTCTCAAAATAATCCGTCAAACCTACTACCTCTCTACCACAGAGGGAAACAAAGCGACCATAGAGAAGAAACAAAATCAATCTATTTGTGACATGACTTTTTTCTCAAGATACTCATTAAATAATCTGATTAAAACATATTTCCACCTCTTTTTGCGTTGAGATGGATGTGTTCGATGCTCAGTAGTATGTCTGGTGATCTCGCTGGTACATTGACCAAATTTTGCGGATCGCCATTGAAGCGGAAAACGTTTACTCTTTATTTCATCGTATTCTCAGAATATTTGTTTCAACGACATCCTGACTCTTATTTAGATTTGTCGTTTTTGAGTTTCAATCATATAATTGGCTCTGTTCAAACGTTGGTAATACCGAAACACAGTTGACTTCATGTTTCGACAGTATAGCGATGTCTTCCAATACTCGGTATACATTCTCTTAGCGTGACACTACGTATCCCTTTGTAATCGTAGGTGGACTGTATTTACTTTGCAATGCATCATATTTATCCTAAACATCAAACACATATTTAATCAAAGTTAACCGAGGTAATATACCTACAAAGGCGAGCTTTTAGTCAGAAAAAAAATGATGGAAAGGTCGAGATTGCTGTCTCCACTTACGTTGTAATTGACCTGTCGAAAGGTCTGAATATACCAAACTGCGTTCCGTTCTAGCAAACATATAATGAGCTGACATGGAAATACTGTTTGGGAACATAATTGACTGTCGTCTCAAATTCACTCATACTTGAAAGTGTTAAATTGTCATCAGCTGTATCGCACTGGTTGTTTATCTACCGTAACAATATCTGGTTGAGTAACAGCAGTATAATGCTGTGTAGTTGTATATTTAGCACATTGGGTACGTAATAATAATTTTGTATCTTGAAGTGCTATTCACATGTGTGCCTTTTGCACAATCCTTTAACCGTCATATGAGAACCTCCTACACGATACAAGCTTAACAAGTAAATTGATAATGTTACAATAGAATTCCATATCGTGATAATATCTGATAAGAACGAAAATGTTAATGAAAATGCAAATATGGCCCTCACATCACACGACGATAACAAACGGATGCGAAAAATTCCAGGTAATGTTAGTCTCCACAATAAATATGATGCCCAACCCGAATGCCTTCTTATTAATAGTGACGTATTGCGGATACCTGTGAACCTTCATAGTAGGCTAAAACTGAGCAATATACATTTGTAATCTATTCATTCTTATCATTTTCAATACATGAAAATGATATAGCAAAAATCAGTCGTATTCTGTGGCTGAGAGCTGTTGTTATCCACGTGAACTGCTTATTTTAATGGTTATGTGATTGTCAATTTTTAACAATATATCATTTTAAACATGTGTCTGTGCTTATCGAACCACATTTTTGCTTATGTATTCGTCACATATCGATGCTCCTGAATGCCGGGCGCCATTTTCTAGACATTGTGTACATGTTCGAGTCATTCGTGTATTCCACGGAGGGCACTTTGAAATATATCCTTTAATTTGTTACATAAAACCCCATTGTTGTAGTTAAAAGAAACTGATTCGTGTCAAATGATGGATCTGACATTAATTTAATTAATTGCGAAATAGCGATACGTATTTGACAAGTGCATATTGATTTATTGATTTTGTTAAAATAAGGTTTAAAGTTATCTAAAGTTGACAATTCGTGATTGCAGGGTGACGTAATTTTGCAGAAAACTTTTTTTCACAGGTAAAACGCAATTCGTACCAGAAAAATGATATATACAAAATAAAAGATTGATACAAATTCCGATTTAGTAGTCGTTTATTGTTTAGGCGGTATTTCAAAGAAAACAGAAATATTCATATTTTTATGTGATCTTATTTCCGATTCATGATATCTTAAAACAAAAGTATTTAAGGGCGTGAGTTTTCTGTGAAGTGATGAATGACGATGAACTGTCATTAGTATTCTAACGCTTGCTGTGATATAGCTCATCTTACACTCCTGGCTCGTGTGATAGATGGCGTTCTACACAGACGATATAAAGGGGTTCGAGATCTACTAGATATCCCCGTTTAACTCTTCACTTTCCATCTGATGGGCGTATCCCTGCAGAGCACTCCAGTTTATAGCCAATATACACACTGACCATTTCCGTCATGTTTCGCTTAATAAGTGTCATTAACGGTTCAGGTGACCAGTAGATTGAAACTGGTGCCACTGGCCAGAGGTCATTTCAGGCGTAGCGCCTTCAACAGTGTCACACTTACCTGGAATATTCAGGAGAAACATGCACGATGTACAAAGCAATTTGTGAAATAGTTTCTTCCTAACAAAAGGGACGGAGATTACATGCGTGTTTTTCTTTTAACCAATGGTTAACGACGATGTGATTACATTTTAAAAACATAATTTGTGATATAACGAGGAAGTATGGCGTATTATTGGTATGATCGGAGATATAGACCTCGGTTTGTGATGGAGGTGAGTGCGACAGGTATTATGTGTCCTAATAGCCAGGGGTGTAGCTAATTACAGAAATGCCGTATTTGGACATCTCTATCTTCACCTATTGCCTGAAGATATTGACGAGTCACCATTGTGAATGTCTTATCTGACACTGGCGATTAAATTCCAGAGAAATATCTACTCTCTGAATCTGTGTAAAGCAACGATTTTATAATTTTTCCCCATTTAAATTGTTCCTCTTACAACATTTGACAAAAAGGCAAACCTGTACTTGGAAACGATTCTTTAAAAAGGTTTTTGTTCAGCCAACTGATATATTATTATAAATTAAATTTTAAAAAAATCTTTTTAAATCCTATGATTTTTCTTTTTTTGAATTTATGATTAAATATCATGTAAATGTACCACGATAACTTACTTGATTTACGATACTAATTATAAGCTTGTTTTATCGTTTAAACACTAGGAACGGAACATCCCATCCTACCAGTTTGACTGGCGTTGATAACCATTAAATATTAACTATATAATGTGATATTTATGACAAGAATTCGTGTTGATGTGCTGTTATTTTTCTTATTTTCCTTTCATGTTGTTGGGCATCAAAGTACTTCTCATATCTCTACACTACAGACAAAATGAAAGTTATGATACGAGGGTACATGTTACGGTTGGAAACTCGTGTTTTTTAGGTCGCTGAACAACCATCAAAACGCTGATCGCGATCTTATCATCTCTCATTACCATATCTATACATGTCATTTAAGTATTTCAGCATATCAAGGTATTTATCTTTAAGAACAGTGTCTCCGTCTTTTACTCGAACTGTTTTCATATTTTGGTTTTTGATATCAAAGTACAAAAATATCATACAAGTTTATAATTGTATACCATACTTCAGACTATTAAACAGCTGTCAATGTTTTTGTAAAATGTGGTGACAATGAAGGGTAGTTTATCAAAAGAAGAAAGTAAATAAACTTTAATCATGTTAGATACAAGAGCTGTAGGCACGTGTAAAACATGACATAGAAACAACACTATTGAATTGGAAACCGAGTAAATGATAAATGATAGCATACGTTTTTAATGTGTAATTTCGTCTTTTTGCTTTCATACTAAATCCGTATTCGCGTAAAACCATTTATCGGGAGCGATTTAAGTTTATTTCAAAACTTTGATAATTCGCTATGAAACTTCTCCGCTTTCTGAAAATCGTTATAATGATTATACTCAAGGTTAGTGTTGACATTAGATCGACAACAAAACAACTTATTGTTATCTAACACCGGGTTACAGAGGTAGATTAAGATGTACCCACAAGTGTGACCGGGTTACAGAGGTAGATTAAGATGTACCCACACGTGTGACCGGGTTACAGAGGTAGATTCAGATGTACCCACAAGTGTGACCGGGTTACAGAGGTAGATTCAGATGTACCCACACGTGTGACCGGGTTACAGAGGTAGATTCAGATGTACCCACAAGTGTGACCGGGTTACAGAGGTAGATTCAGATGTACCCACAAGTGTGACCGGGTTACAGAGGTAGATTCAGATGTTCCCACAAGTGTGACCGGGTTACAGAGGTAGATTCAGATGTACCCACAAGTGTGACCGGGTTCAGATGTACCCACTAGTGTGACCGGGTTACAGAGGTAAATTAAGATGTACCCACAAGTGTGACAGGGTTACAGAGGTAGATTCAGATGTGCCCACAAGTGTGACCGGGTTACAGAGGTAGATTCAGATGTTCCCACAAGTGTGACCGGGTTACAGAGGTAGATTCAGATGTTCCCACAAGTGTGACCGGGTTACAATAATGGTTCAGATGTACCCACAAGTGTGACAGGGTTACAGAGGTAGATTAAGATGTACCCACAAGTGTGACTGAGTAATAATGGTGGACTTTTAAATAGAAATAGTAAATTGCAGTTCATTCACAAAGATATGAAGTAATCTGCTCCAATTATAAAGTAGTTCTAATCTTTACATTGCAGTGGCCTCGTTTGACGTCGATGTATTCCGGAAGTAGTAGTCGATTGGAGGAACATTCCCGAAACGGAAACGGAAATGGAAAATATGCAGACCCTGTGTTAGCATATGACAATGTGTTCGACCCCATCGATAGCTATGGGGCTTATAACTTTCACATGGCGCCAAGGGAGGAACTTGTTATTGGAACAGACCCCCGCTTGTGGCAACGTAATGGACACAAGCCTGATACCAACACTGGAAGTGATTACACGGGAGAAAAAAGGCCAGATACGTCAACATGTCGGCTAGTCCTATGTGTTTTGCTTGTGATGAGTTTTATTGGTGTCGTGGTAGCGTCAATTGTGTTAGCCGTTATATGTAAGTATAATTATGTAACAGATAAACCAAAACAACATATAATTTATCGATAAACATATGACTTAACTACTCCAGAGTTAAATTCAAAAGACCAAACAACTAATAAACATAGCAATAACTTTCAGATGTTATGTTGTGGGAACTGACAAACACACTCATAACACGATGTTGCAAGGGATGCACTTTTATGAAAATGGTGGAATATTTAACAGTTTTCGTAATATTTTTTTCGATATTAAGTTGGAGGTTTAGTAACTTATTTTTGTTTTGTAAAAGTGTGTTGGCTAAGATACGAGATATATGTATATTGTCAGTGTTGTGATTTGGTAAAATACTTTCTACCGGTGTGTCAGTCGTGATGTAATATATTGACAGTGTTGTAATGTACTTTCTACCGGTGTGTTGGGTGTGATGTAATATATTGAAAGTGTTGTAATGTACTTTCTACCGATGGGTCTCTTGTGATGTAATATAATGACTGTGTTGTAATGTACTTTCTACCGGTGTGTCTGTTGTGATGTAATATAATGTCAGTGTTGTAATGTACTTTCTACCGGTGTGTCTGTTGTGATGTAATATATTGTCAGTGTTGTAATGTACTTTCTACCGGTGTGTCTGTTGTGATGTAATATATTGACAGTGTTGTAATGTACTTTATACCGGTGTGTCTGTTGTGATGTAATATATTGACAGTGTTGTAATGTACTTTATACCGGTGTGTCTGTTGTGATGTAATATATTGACAGTGTTGTAATGTACTTTCTACTGTCTGTTGTGATGTAATATATTGACAGTGTTGTAATGTACTTTCTACTGTCTGTTGTGATGTAATAAAATGACAGTGTTGTAATGTACTTTATACCGTTGTGTCTGTTGTGATGTAATATATTGTCAGTGTTGTAATGTACTTTCTACCGGTGTGTCTGTTGTGATGTAATATATTGTCAGTGTTGTAATGTACTTTCTACTGTCTGTTGTGATGTAATATATTGACAGTGTTGTAATGTACTTTCTACAGGTGTGTCTGTTGTGATGTAATATAATGACTGTGTTGTAATGTACTTTCTACTGTCTGTTGTGATGTAATATATTGACAGTGTTGTAATGTACTTTCTACCGGTGTGTCTGTTGTGATGTAATATATTGTCAGTGTTGTAATGTACTTTATACCGGTGTGTCTGTTGTGATGTAATATATTGTCAGTGTTGTAATGTACTTTCTACCGGTGTGTGTTGTGATGTAATATATTGACAGTGTTGTAATGTACTTTCTACCGTCGTGTCTGTTGTGATGTAATATATTGACAGTGTTGTAATGTACTTTTTACCTGTGTGTCTGTTGTGATGTAATATATTGTCAGTGTTGTAATATACTTTCTACCGGTGTGTCTGTTGTGATGTAATATATTGACAGTGTTGTAATGTACTTTCTACTACTGCTAGTCACATGCTGATGCTATATATTATATTTACAGTATCACAGTCCCAGTCAAGTTCAGTAACTCCTTCACCACAAGGTAATTCAGTGCTGCTATATCCCGATGATAACTTTTTTTTAGTTTTTAGCCGGGTTTTTATATATTATAGATGCTTTTTACTGAGATATATAACAGGTTTGCATTCTTCTGTAACACATGATGAAACAGGTTAGAAATATTTGTTCGATTTGACCATTTGAACAAAAAACCTGTTGCCAAAGCCAACACGTATCGTATGTGCCAATGGAAGTAAACTACAATACTAATCAAATGTTGTAAAAAACTGCAATTACTCTGACAAATAGACTTATATTTTGGTTATTTCCAGCTAATTCGGTATCATTAAAATGTGTATACGTTGGTATATTACAACAGACAAAAATACCTCCATTTTATTCATAAATTGCTGATAGCGTTTCGTCAAATGTAAAGATGGCCAAGTAATAAAATGGTAACATGTTTTTGAAAGTCGAATTTCTTTTGGTTTTAGCGACTTTGCAAGGTGTCCTCACTATGGTAAATAGAAATTTTTCGACTGATCTGAATGACCCTTCAAGTGCAGCGTACAAGGCAGCGGCCAAAGACTTCTGTGAAGCAGTGAGTATTGTTTAATGAAGGGACACAAGTGAAAGTTCAGCACATTCGATATTTAAGACCGGCATTTGATTGGCCGATAAAATAGAAATGTGTGTTCTCCGTATGCTTTGCAAACTTCTGTTCCTGACAATCAGAAATATTTAATAAAATATAAGACGACCTGTTTCAGATTTTTAGGTTCCCATATACAAACTTGATCTCAAATGAAATCATTGTAGCAACCTGCAATCCTCATGTGTATATGAAGCTCGAATGGCGATTGACAATATGACGGCATTAACCACGTGCACATAAACATCCAATGGCGATTGTTAAAATGACCTTGACACATCAAATGGATGTTGTTATTAGAGTAAAACGTTAATAGAATTCAACTTTCAAACAACGGAACATATATTATATAAGTATATGATCATTCTTCATTCCAAGCGAAAGTTCCAATATTTTATAAATTGATTGACGTCAAGAAAATGAGGAATTTTATGTTTAATTTTGAGTTGTTTGTTTAATTTGTCTTCAAAAGGCATGTTACATGTAGATAGTGTCTAAAATGTGTTTTCTCTTATCTTTATCATAGTATTAAATGCATTATTTATAAAAGTACAATTTACTATATCAGATAGTATCTGGCATCAGCCAAGCTTTATGATATAGAACCATGACAGTGGTTTCCTCTTGGATACGTCCATATCATTTACACTAAAAGTAGCTGGAATATTAATGGAGACAAACATATGTGGTATTGTGGAACATTTAATTCTACTGGTTGTAATATAAGAACTTCTGTTCTATTGAATTTGGGATTTGAAATTATTATCTTGAAAATGTTTTGATATCAACTTGAAATAAGATCGTAAGATGAATCTAGCGTCGCAGAATCCTGCTCTGCCTCAAGCAATAGACTTAGTTAAAAACACACCAAAGAACCAACTCATTTTCCCCTCGGGATGGAAGTGTATACTTGATAAAAAACTTAAGTCAATAGAACACAGGAGACGATATTTAATTGTAATAACAAAGTGTCATTATTTTGTTTCACAGATTGCAGACATTCAGAAAGCTGAATCATCTCCATTTCGTGACACTTATCACTCCTGTATCGTTCTTGGATTTACGTAAGTGTGTGTTATATTTCAGGTTTGATCTGTCATTGTTACAACATGGTAACACTAGCACATCACTCTCACCAGCGTTACGTATTAACGGCATATAAACGATGTATACAGCTGTAGCCTATCTTTTATTCATCTATTTGTTTGCTTTCATGTAAAAAGCTCTGTATCAGCGAGGTTAAAATACTTATTGTAATGTTTCCACTTATTTAATAAAATATCGAATTTTTAAAACTGATAATGTTTTATTTCAGACAAGGCAGCGTGGTTGTATCATACAAAATCCTCTTTACCTCGGACCCAGACCCCGTCGAGGTGCAACAGCAGCTTACTCAGTCGATAAACAGAAATGGTCAAGTCGGGTTTGGATCTGGACGAGTGGTCTTCACGAATCCAACCCCTCTAACCATCATTGTGTTTAGTGGCACAACACTTTCAAACACGGCCCTTGATACTACAGTCAGCACATCATCGGCTGTTGCTACGTCAACCTCAGCATCGGTCTTGTCGTCTTCTACGGTTGCTTTTTCAACATCATCATCGGAAGCAGAAGGTTTCACCTCAGCTATGACGGATTTAGCATCAACACAAACAACTGTAGCTTCAACACTTATTTCGTCAGCAGCCGTTGAACATTCGACATCATCACCGGAAGTTGTGGTTACATCATCAATGGAAGCCGTTACACCAATATTGTCATCATCAGCAGAAATGTTAACGCCATCCATGTCAGATTTAGGATCAACACAAGCGACTGTAGCTTCAACACTTATTTCGTCAGCAGCCGTTGAACATTCGACATCATCACCGGAAGTTGCAAGTACATCATCACTTGAAGCTGTTACTCCAATATTGTCATCAGCAGCAGAAATGTTAACGCCATCCATGTCAGATATAGGATCAACACAAATAACCCTAGCTGCAACACTTATTTCGTCAGCAGCCATTGAACATTCGACAGCATCACCGGAAGTTGCAGATACATCTTCAATAGAAGCTGTTACACCAATATTATCATCAGTGGAAGAGACAGCTTCAACACAATCATCTGGAGCTGCAGCAATAACGGCGTCAACATCGGTTGGTGAATCGACGTCGACTGAAGCGATTTCAACATCATATGTGTCTATTTCTCCTTCAGGAATTGCCAGTATTGAATCTTCGTCTGATTCCACAGATAACTCTGTTACAAGATCGCCTTTGTCCGTTATGTCATCGATGAGATCACAAGACGTGTCGCCGTCTCTAATGTCTTATTCGTCTGTTTCGCCTCGGATAGAATCACCATCTTCCCTAGCTGATCATTCTTTGTCTTCGATGCCATCTTCATCTATTGCTTCAATAGACGAATTGTCATCTGCATCTTCCTTATCTGATCATTCTTTTAAACCAGCCACATTATCTTCTTTTTCATCGATAGACTCGTCATCTCTATCATCGTCTTTCGATCTTTCTTCGACGTTTGCTTCAATATCTCCTTCCTCTGTTCTATCATCAATTGAAACTTCATCTATATCAACTTCTGCTGATCTCTCTTCAACGTCTGTATCAATATATCCTTCATTAGCTTCTTCATCGACCGTATTGCCGTCTGCATCTTCCTCTTTTGCTCACTCTGTGCTATCTGAATCGTTTGTTTCGTCGTCTCCATCTACATCTACCACTGTTGCTATTTCTTCTTCGTTACCATCAATATCTTCTTCGTCACTAATGGGATCTTCACCTTTATCTTCCTCTGTTGCCCTAACTTCAATGTCTGCGTCAATATCTCCTTCTTCTGTCTTGTCCTCGATCGAATCGTCATCTCAATCATTCTTTGAAGACGTTTCATTTATGTCTGCATCACTGTCGTCTTCAGTGACTACATCGATGCTTTCATCATCTTCGTCCACCCTAGATCTTACTTCTTTGTCTGCATCAATGTTTCCATCATCTGTTTCATCATTAATAGAATCTCCTTCTGTGTTTTCCACTGTTGATCATTCCTCTATATCTTCATCAGTTTTAGCATTGTCAGAAACTCAATCTTTATCTACCTCTGCTTATCTCACTGCTATGTCCACATCAATGTTTCCTGAAATGTCGTCTCCCCATGCATCATTACCTGTTGGACTTTCGTCAATGTCGTCATCCATTTTCTCTTCGTCAGCTTCATCTGTAATGGACTACTCTTCATTGCCGTCTCCTGTCGGTAGTTCGTCTATGTCTATATCGATATCTCCTTCATCGTCTTCAATGGAATCCAAATCTTTGTCATTATATGTTGATGTCACTTCTATGTCTGCACCTATGCTTTCCTCGTCTATGTTGGCATTGACAGAATCTCCATATTTGGTGTCTTCCATCCATCTTGCATCTATGCAAACGTCGATGTATTCTTCGTTTGCTTCAGCTGCATCTTCCTCAATCGATATTGCTTCTACATCGGCATCAATATCTCTTTCATATGTTTCGCCAATGTTAGAATCCTCTTCATTGTCATCGTCTGTTGGTCTTTCATCTATACCTGTGTCTATCTCGCCGTCGTCTTTGTCGTCTATCGAACATTCCTCCGTTGATATTTCATCTATATCTGCATCGATATCCCCTTCATCAGTGTTGTCATTATCAACTGAATCTTCTTCCGCATATTCTTCTGTCGATCTTACGTCTATGTCTACATCAATGTCTTTTACACCGGTTTCGTCTATGATGGTATCACATTCCGCATCTTTTGTTCTTGATCTGTCGTCTCTGACGTCCTCACCTGTTTCATCAATAATTGAATCATCAAACATTTCCTCTGTTTATCTTTCCTCTATGTCTGTATCAGTATTTCCTTCATCCGTTTCTTCTATAATGGAAACATCATCCGTGTCTCCATCTACTGATATTTTGGCAATGTCTGCATCAATATCTCCCTCTTCTGTTTCTTTCACAATGGGCTCATCATATGTATCTTCTGCTGACATTTCGTCTTTAGCTGCATCAGTATCTTACTCATCTGTGACGGAACCATTTGCCTCAATAACCCCCTCGTCTGTTTCATCTCTAACGGGATCCGTACCTTCTTTTGATTCGTCGTCTATATTCGAATCTTTGTCTTATACATCTATTTCTTCTATGATGGAAGCGTCATCTGCATCTTCTTTTGATTCTTCGTTTATATCTGCATCTTTATCGCCTTCATTTGTTTCCTCTATGATGGAAGCATCATCCGTATCTTCTTTTAATTCTTCGCCTATATCTGCATCTCTATCTCCTTCATCTGTTTCCTCTATCATGGAAGCGTCATCGGCATCTTCTTTTGATTCTTCGTCTGTATCTGCATCTTTATCTCCTTCATCTATTTCCTCTATGATGGAAGCACCATCCGTATCTTCTTTTGATTCTTCGTCTATATCTGCATCTATATCGCCTTCATCTATTTCCTCTATGATGGAAGCATCATCCGTATCATCTTTTGATTCTTCGTCTATGTCTGCATCTATATCGCCTTCATCTATTTCCTCTATGATGGAAGCATCATCCGTATCTTCTTTTGATTCTTCGTCTATATCTGCATCTATATCGGCTTCATCTGTTTCCTCTATGATGGAAGCATCATCCGTATCTTCTTTTGATTCTTCGTCTATATCTGCATCTATATCGCCTTCATCTATTTCCTCTATGATGGAAGCATCATCCGTATCTTCTTTTGATTCTTCGTCTATATCTGCATCTATATCGCCTTCATCTGTTTCCTCTATTATGGAAGCATCATCCGTATCTTCTTTTGATTCTTCGTCTATATCTGCATCTATATCGCCTTCATCTGTTTCCTCTATGATGGAAGCATCATCCGTATCTTCTTTTGATTCTTCGTTTATATCTGCATCTATATCGCCTTCATCTGTTTCCTCTATGATGGAAGCATCATCCGTATCTTTTTTTGATTCTTCGTCTATATCTGCATCTATATCGCCTTCATCTGTTTCCTCTATGATGGAAGCATCATCCATATCTTCTTTTAATTCTTCGTTTATATCTGCATCTTTACTTCCTTCATCCGTTTTCTCTATGATGGAAGCGTCATCCGCATCTTCTTTTGATTCTTCGTCTATATTGTCATTGATATTACCTTCATCAGATTCTTCAACGGTAGAATCACTAACTTTATCATCATCTGTTGTCCTTTCTTCTATGTCATCGTCGATATCTCCTTGAACTTCATTATAACAATATTTTCTATAATCGCCTTTTTATGGTTGACCCCATTAGCATCCATTCTACTTGCAGCATTTGTTGTCTCCTCTTTGTTTCCGATATTTATCTTTCTGTTCTTATTTTCATTACCATTGCTGTAACGTCCCTGGCGACTTAGTTAAATCTACCTCCCATTTCAACAGAAAGTTTCATCAGTTGATCTTTGCTGCTTACTCATTAAAGACGGGGTTAACTTTACCTGGTTCCCTTTGTATCCGTGTCCGTGGTTCAGTCGATTTCTCGATCAACTGATGTGTGTGACGGGATGGTCCAATGATCATTGTCCTCTCGTTTGATGATGTTTGTATGACGGGATGGTCCAATCATCATTGTCCTCTCGTTTGATGATGTGTGTGACGGGATGGTCCAATCATCATTGTCCTATCGTTTGATGATGTTTGTATGACGGGATGGTCCAATGATCATTGTCCTCTCGTTTGATGATGTGTGTGACGGGATGGTCCAATCATCATTATCCTCTCGTTTGATGATGTGTGTGACGGGATGGTCCAATCATCATTATCCTCTCGTTTGATGATGTGTGTGACGGGATGGTCCAATCATCATTATCCTCTCGTTTGATGATGTGTGTGACGGGATGGTCCAATCATCATTGTCCTCTCGTTTGATGATGTGTGTGACGGGATGGTCCAATCATCATTGTCCTCTCGTTTGATGATGTTTGTATGACGGGATGGTCCAATCATCATTGATGTTTCTATGACGGGATGGTCCTGATCATCCTCTCGTTTGATGATGTGTGTGACGGGATGGTCCAATGATCATTGTCCTATCGTTTGATGATGTTTCTATGACGGGATGGTCCAATGATCATTGTCCTCTCGTTTGATGATGTGTGTGACGGGATGGTCCAATGATCATTGTCCTATCGTTTGATGATGTGTGTGACGGGATGGTCCAATGATCATTATCCTCTCGTTTGATGATGTTTGTATGACGGGATGGTCCAATGATCATTATCCTCTCGTTTGATGATGTTTGTATGACGGGATGGTCCAATGATCATTGTCCTCTCGTTTGATGATGTTTGTATGACGGGATGGTCCAATGATCATTGTCCTATCGTTTGATGATGTTTGTATGACGGGATGGTCCAATGATCATTATCCTCTCGTTTGATGATGTTTCTATGACGGGATATTCTCATTTTTCATGATTTTATCGTTTGGAATTATTTCGAGGAAACAATTCACTATGTGAAATCCAGAATCTGAGGAGATAATATTGATATTTCTACTTACCAAACATACTGGTTTAGGGCTTGAAATAAATATATTGGCAATAAAACCTAGATTTGGTTTTACAAAATGACTAACTGACTGACAAACCAAGAGAATCAAAAATTAGTACAGACGATTAGCAAATGCGATGATAAAATTGCGATTCTTATGCTTTATGCATGCAATAACTAGATAAGGTTAGAATCTATTAATGCAAACAGGCATTTATATATTAACTGAACTAATTAAATAATCAAAAATATAGAAAATTGCTGCATAATAATTCCGTGTCTTTTTCATGTTTCCTTGAAATATTGTGTTACAGATAAATATCATGTTTATTTTATTTATTTATCATTACAATATATGAATCGAACTTATTTTCTAATGCAATATGTAGCCAAGACTAGTTGTCAATAGTCATGATGATAAGTTACAGGCTACTTAAATACATTTAACTTAAAAAAAATCAAAATGACACATTATTTTTCCAACATGCAATTGTTCATGTGTGTATTTACAATTAATATGTTTATGAAATATGTTATTTTTGTATGAAATTGAAATTAAGGGCTATGGGTACACAATGTGTACATGCTAGCATATAATACTATGATAAGAATTGTATATGATGCCTTTTTTATTTGATATATGATTTTCATTTATTATCAATCACGAATAATATGGGTGTATTTCTTGATGTGTGATAGTTCAGAGTGTCATTGTAATAAGTGTGTCTCTGACACGGCATGCTCGTGTAACGTACTTCATATTTTATTATAAACTATACGCACTTGTTTTGTAATGAAATCGTATGCCGTGCAGTGATAAGCTACACTACTACACATGTTTTTAGAGGTGCCTATTTGTGTGTAAGGGTGTGTGATTGTGTGTGGGTGTTTGTGGTATATATGTAAGTAATTACTAGAAGGAAAGTTAATATCATTGTTACACTATATGATACCTCACAAAATAACAGTATATGTTTTAGTTATCATGCAACTATCAGTGATGCAAACCTTACAAGAGTTGTCTCCCATATATAACTGTTAATTTGTTTTGAGACGCACTCTTTTTCTATGGAAGCATTAAGTACACAGAGAAATATTTTCAGTAAAACATTTTTAGATTTCTCTATATGTGTGCTTTACTCATCGATCTATATATTTTTTTATTTTGAATTAAAAAATATCAAGAAGCAATCCTAAATGAGGATATTGTGCTTGTAATGTTTATTAACATGATTAAGAAATATATACATTATATATTCATAACAAAAATATAACTTTGAAATGATCAAATGCAATTATTTCCGGTGCTGATTGACTTTGTTTTAAATATGTGTACGTGAGATAATTAAGCTGAACAGTCTGCAGGTCGTTCCAGTATTGATAATTTTCTATTGAATCTGTTTCCACTTTATGATAATCAAAAACAATTAATTTGATAGATCACAAGTTAGGGCAGTGCGATTATCATTGTCATGTATACATTTGTTATTCGTTATTTCATAATTTGATATTGATAACAGGTTACCGAAGAGAAATTAAAACTTTCTCATATAAATCAGCATTTCATATGATTCTGTTTATTTTTATATCTACATAGTAAGGCAATAAACGAATGCATCGTAAAATGTGTTGATAAAATGGAATTGTAATAAAACATCAATCACTCAATAATCGGTTTCAGTTTTCTGTATTCGGTTAACCGAAATAAAATTTAGGTGAAATGCAAGGAACTTTGAATACCTGTTTATAGTATGACCCGTTACCAGTTTGAATTGAAAGGAAATCCGAGGCAAAGGTCGGGACATTAGAAGGCACAAACATAATGTTTAGCCATTTTGTACACAAGACACACAGGTAAATTAACATCCAAATATGAGTTATTTCATATCAACATTTTAGACAACTTACAAACATTTTCTGGAGACATATTCACACAACGGTAGATTACTGAAATAACTAGCATTTAAATATATTGTTGGTACAAATAGAATGACTGGAATCGTACCATTTATGTCATGGTGAAGGTCGTTTAAGTGATACAACGTAGATTCCTTCTCATACACATTCCAGGATGCCACAACTTTACAATTTTTCTCTAGTACCCGACACAGACTGATAACATGGACACTTCAGGAATCAGAACCTGTTGTATTTAACAGACGAGTTCAGTTTATGTCTTGACTTCACCAATAGGCGGATCTTAATCATATAGGGTGTATCCCACGCTACAGACAGCTCGATCTGCCAGTACGAAGTGAACAGCCGAGGACACAGCTGGTAACAGCTTTGACAGCAGAATGTAAGGCTTGACCACATAACCGGAAACACAATCTTAGTCTGAACTGTTGCCGTGAATTGTACTGAACTTTACTTGAATTATTGCATGTCAATAACATTCAGAAGAAATAACACAAAACCAGTTTTACACGGTCATTGATATATTTAATAATTGCTGATTGTCAAAACTTCTGATGTAGCAATTGTTTTCGACATGAATTGGTTGATTATCATATCACAATTATCACACGTATTTACATAGTGCGTACTACAACTTTTTAGACAAAATATCATATTTCGTTAATTAGGTTTATAATATATATTCTTTCGAAGTTAAAACGTAAATAATTAATAGAAAAAAATATGGATATCAACACATCATACTGTACTTTGGATCATCAATTGATGTCAAGTTATTGCATTGAAATGTTGCATATAAAAGTTAATTCTTTATCATTTGATCTGACACCTAGAAAATGTCTTCTACAAAATGCAATATTAATATTAGTATATTAATGTAAATAAGTATGATTATATACCTACATTACATATCATTGCGATGAATGAAGAACAATGGAATATATTTAGCTTAGAAGTTATTAAGTTAAGTGACACTTTCATATGTCATTGGTTTATATATACCGAGCTCTAATCCTGTTCAACATATCTATCGTGTTCAGTATCTCTATGAGAAAACAAATGCACCAATATTTCCCAGAAAGTAATGGTCTTTCCTGAGAGGTCCCGGTATCTAGTTCAGATGGTGGTCATTATTCACCAGGTCTATGACTGTCTGCTTTTCTTGATTATTCTTCTTTTCTGATATATCGAACATCTCCAGAGTGTTTTTACACAATTGGTGGGTCACAACAGCACAATGTGTGTGGCTTACTACATTGCTAGTAGTACGAATTCTGTCTCTGTAACGGGAGATATACATAGTATCACACATGATGATATTACTTTGTAACTTTTAAGATATCTCGCTTTATTGATATTACGTCTTCACGTTATTGGTGGGAATTTCTTGTATAATCAAAATTGTTTATTTAAAACACACAACGTTCAAGTGATTTTACTGTTTTGTTTCAGCAGCCTTTTAGAGTTGATAAAATGCAATCTCAATAAATACTCAAGTATGTGACGGTTAGTTTCCGTCCTCTCTTAGGTTAATAAATTATAAATGTCCCCTTATGTTCCCCGTGCATCTAACTTAGAGAATATATTCTTAACTTCAACTAGCTTATTATACTTACAGTATCCACTCAACAGCAAACAGGAGAGAAATGGATTCCGCTGGGATGTTCATAGAAGTCAGGATCATTACCAAGGTAACGATACTAGAACTTGGTACACTAGGTATCGCCATTGAACAAATTGCAGTTAAAATGCTGGGAAAAAAAGAGACAATTTTTATGTTTAAATCGACTAACCTTTCCTTACCGTTGAAGAATTTGACAGCAATTTTGTCTATGCATGCTTAAAACATATGCTATTGAATATTACATTTAAGTGTAACCTAAAGGTGAACACTAGATTAGAAAGAAACAATGATAATGATGTTAATGCGTGCCATTGTTCTTGATGTTGTCCTTGTTAATGAAATTCTTGATGTGAAGACTATAATAACAAAACCAACCATAATGGAAGTACGAACTGGCAAACAAATATTGTTTCAAACTCGTATTCGGTGGAACAAGGGTAAAATTTGAATCCAAGTAAGATTTACGTGAGTATACGCGACAAAATACAGAGGAAATTGACCATGTGTTCTGGACGGTTAAGTAAAGTCTGCTTCATCAACAATACCGGTCATAAAACCGTTTGGTTAATCTAAGTAATGCCACCTTCCAGGTTCATATAATACGTCTATTACAGAAATCATTTTACTCGGAATAACGCCCTGAATGTCGAATCAACGGAGACATATCAAATTCCGTCGCACATTGCCATGATGTTTCGTTAATTTAACTTTCCAAAGTGATGTGAGATACATTTGTAATTGATTAATTAATCAATAATGTAACACTTGTTTTTATACGAATTGTATTATTTCAAAATACACAAAAAATGTTACCAGTACAACTTTGAAGATTAACCAGTTGAATCATGAAATTAATTGATATTACTAGAGTTTACAATCCATATACCACTACTATTCTACTGAATCCCACATAACATTCCTCGCCACTCGTCTCCCGAGACATCTGCATAATTTGAATATTCACAAAAGGGTCGCTACTTCCTAACTATAAAAACCTCGGCGTCTAGGCTCAAAATCTGCCTACCCTCCCTTCATAATGTTTCTTATAACCCAACACTTGAAGTGCTGAAATTTTATATACATTTTGTATATAATTTACTAATCCACTTAAATGAGAAGGTTTTGGATATTCATTCATCTTCTCTGAAAAACATACGCCACTTCGAAGTAACATATTTTGCTATCTTAATGATTGCAAAGGCAATAGTTAACAGACACAGATGAGCATTGCTCAAATACAGATGTATATTTGATCTATGCTATATTCACCTAATACCAATTACTCGTGATAATTAGGTGACACGCTACCAGAAATGTTTGAACGACTTACCCTATAGTAAGCATATCACCAAAACTCAGACTGACCCCTGCCATATTGGCTATAAACATGGCTGCCGCCGTGATATAAAGAGCACTGCCATCGGCGTTCAGCGTGACACAAAAAGGGATGACGAACCGGCTAACCCGTTTGTCAACTTTCTGGTCCTCTTCACAGGCGGACAACATCTCCGGAATGGCAACCGCTCTGTAATATAGAAATTATGTCTAACATTGATATAATGCAAAATATTTAGTTTTAGGAATTTATGCGTTTAAAATCGAAAGTATGGTAAGATTATGTCCCTTTATCAAACATGACATATTTCACAAACATACAACAGGCTATTCCGAAAATACATAAAAAAAAGAGAAGATAAAATGTTTGATGAAACTCATTTGAAAAGAACACTTCCTAAAACCCTTTTATGTAATATATGCGCAAATATAGTTAAGTTGTTAAACTTTTAAACAGAACGAAATAATCTAACACTTTGCTGACGGTCCATGTCCATGATTGTATACTTTAACTGACACTTTTAAACATATATTTTGTAATAATCATATTGAAGTTCTTTCTTCTGAAGTTGTTTACACGTGTCGATATCAATATCGAAAGTATAGTGAATTTACTGAGCGATGATGCAGATATAGAGTGTATGCTCAGGTTCTAGATAATTCTTACACACAACAACTGCATTTAGATGTTTGCGTGAATTTCGTCATGCATAACACATACTGACCACATACCACGAATCTATTGTTAGTACTGTTTCTTAGTTTATCATACAACATAATACCACTATACGATAACAGGTTTATATATAGGAAGGTCGGATAAATCTGAGAGAAGAACTTAAGTTGTAAATATATTTCGATGATTAAAATTCGTCGGAGAGAATTGACTTTCTATTTTCTCCACCCCACACCAACGTGTATCTCCTCTGGAATAGAGGGCCACATAATCAATATTCTATCAATTAAAATTTTTCACGCCTTCATTGGCGATAGATTGAATTTGTCATTCTGACTATATCTAAAGTGAGTGCTCTCTTATATCTCCACCGATTATATAATTTCAAATCTTAGACAAGGCTCCGCAAATTATTTATTACCAATTACAGCGTGTAATATACTCAAATGACTAAAATCTGCTTAACAATGATTAACGCATTAGTAATGCGAGTTTCAAGTCATTTCAAAGGGTTAACTCTACACGAGTTGTCGTTCCTAAAGTTCGCAATGCATCCTGTGAAAATTGATATTTTCACTGCAGTGATCTGATTGCTCAAAAAAGAAGTGAAACTACCAAGACTTCTTTTATTCACTAGAAAAAAAAAATATCACTGATGTTTTAACCTGACATTTCACTGCAAAAATGAAATTAATAAATACATTATAAAGCTACATACGTGCTGGTGGATGCAAATCCAATCATCCATGCTTTACTGATTTGTAACGCAAATCTATATGGATTCCGGCGAGTAAGAGCAAAAAATATCAATGGCATTATAACGACCTGGTGAAGAACAATGCCCGCTATAACAACACCAACGAAAAGCCCTAGGGCTCGAAACATCTCCTCTAGTTGTGTTATAGTGGCTATAGAGGATGCAATCAAACTCATAGTTCCCACTGGTGTAAACCTGTAACAAACAGAAATAATTATTCATAAAATTATAACAATGTTTAGTATCACACATTAAAATGATGGTGAAATGTGCCATAGGTACATCTTTGTCTTAGCTACTGATTTCAGTTAAGATAACATTGATGGTGGATATGCCCATTAAAATGATGGTGAAATGTGCCATAGGTACATCTTTGTCTTAGCTACTGATTTCAGTTAATATAATATTGCTGGTGGATATGCCCAATGAGTTAATAAATGGACACATGTAGAGAGGTGGATGTCAATTTGGCAATCAGTAGTATTCTCGCTTATTCTACAAGTAGCAAACACAGGGCGAAGAAATTCCAGCGTGACTGACCGAAAACAGAAATAATATCGGGGTCGGGTATCTGAGGTTGGTGATTATCTGAGTGCTATGGAAGGCTGGTTAAGGGAGCAAGATGTTTAGTTCTACCGATCGGGTATTAATGACAGAAGGAACAAGAAAATTAAAATGTCGTACTATTCATAAGCCCATAACGTTTTTATATCCTCCCCTAACAACTAAAGGAAATCGACTCGTTTTCTGACGTCATATTCATTTAAACTTCAGGAAAGAGTAAGGACTGAGGTGAAATTACCATCAATTGATAAATTGTAAAGGATTGATTATAACACTAGTCAGAAAACTCATATAAAATCCTCTGTATGATACAACTTTGGCTTACCATCCCTTATTATAACATACTGGTACATATACCTATTGTATCGAGTATAAATACATATGGACCAAACTTATGGACTAAAGAAGTCTTTAGAACTACTTCATACCACAGACAAAACAGTAATATGATATACAAGAATGTAGTTTTTGGTTCATTGTCAAATTACCATAACAACCATCGCAGTATTGTCAGAAAAATGTCAGCCAGTGATTCAAAAAAGTCCAACACTGGTTTTCCTGTTTCCTTTCGTTTGCTCAAAGCTATTCCCACCAGCATGCATGTCATAATTATACCTGCAGTAAGATTGAATGAGAAAATGATTATCAGTAAGAAGATTGGAAAAAGGAGTTTCACAAATACTTATAAATAAGAGATGTGTAATAAGATATTTATGGTTCAAAGTTATCTGGAACTGGAGAAAATGAAATCAATATCCAATATTGTAATTGAAATGATAAAACATGCTTAATTCATAATGATATTAAAGTTAGCGAAAACCGAAAACAATACCGATGACGACGTCATGAAGTCTATAATTACAAAATGGTTAATGGTCATATGATCTAGTCTATGTTCAAGTGCCGCTTCCGGTTTCAACGTTGGTAATTAAGTTACACGTGGTATATGCGGGCGGTACACATTGAATTAGTCTCTGTTGATTTTAGTGATCAACAAGAATATAAACACAATTATAATAAAAAAAACCCAAATTCAGTGCTCCTAGGGCAAAATATGAACAAAGGGAAGATTTACATGATTCCTGAAAAAGTGCAAGTAAAAAAGTCCGTACACCATATGTGAGGGAAGCAAGACCTTGCTATCCACATGGAAAAACCACAATAGGTAAATTGAAATCATCACGCTTGGTGAAAAACTGTTCATGTAAGTTTCGTTGTAGGAAAAGATCGAGATAAGCGGCTGATGTAAACGGAGTCCGTCGTTTCCCTGTTTTTCAATACGTGTTGTTATAAACGGCTTTGCAAAGTCTTTTTACCTGTTTCGATAAGTTAACATCGTGTGAAAACAAAAACAAGTCGGCAAACAGACCAGATGCATATTTGGACGTATTCACGAAATACGTTTCAGTATAGTTCACAGCCATGTATTTGTATTGCCATTCACATTTCTTGGAAAAGAAAGTCCTTATGAAAAAGAGAACGAGTGAGGTATGGTGGTGGTACAGAGTGGGGAAATAAAATGTTCTTATAATTGATTTTTTTTAACTGAGGATGTTGAGGATTGGTCAAAAACTCTTTAGAAATCTTGAAAATCCACATACTATTAGTTCCACATCTTGAGTAAACAGTATCACTATAAGACTGTAACAAATCTTTGATAACACTAAAGGTAGTAAGTAGTTTGGACAAGGGGTTTTGTTGAACAGGGACACAAGCAAGAAATAAAACGATATTTATATAAACGGAGGAAGGTAGGATTTGTATCATTAATTAAAATGATTATAGTACTGAAACATGCTTTTGCCACATCACCAACAATTTTATGAAGTCCCCAAGGTATATTTTCCGCAGGTCACCAGTAGTTTTAGCTGAATCCAATTGAAGCTTTTGTAACACACAGAGGAAGAGACTATAACGTAGATCGAACATGATAGTGTGAGGTCATTTGTACGGTGGGTAATTCCAGAATACTGACACTCAATGAAAGTATAAAATTGTCAGGGAGGATGAAATGTTGATTTTCTCCACGGTTCACTGCTGCACGATGACAATTCATTCGTTGTCTTAACTGTCCTCTTGGGTCTTTTCACAGAGCACATTCAATTTCACAACATTGGAAGTTTTACCATTTATTTGTTCATATTTTCAGGCAGTGAAAACGTCTGGTAGTACGTGATATGTTTATTTCTTTTCAGTAATTATTACATTGCAAATGTTCAAGTTTTAAGCTCCGCATATCGAAATATTAAAAACTTTATGATGTGTTCAATGGATTAAAAAACTTTAAGGTTAAATTTTTACGTTTTTAATTGTACTGCAGAGCCATCATTTTTGTATCTGGCCCTTTGTAAAATTAGGTATGTTCATGAGGACAATGCAAGCGGTAATCTGTATTCCAATAATAGGCCCTGTGCCTTAGGGAACTATTACGGGAGTCCTTTTTATAATGTGTGCTGACTCATCCAGTATGTTGTTATTTTCCTATCCATACGTACCGAGTAGATTGGTCCCTGATGTTTTCCCTACACTTTTCTGTATTGTCCTGGTGCTCTCCTCAACAGTTCCGTTTGTTATATTCCTTAAATATGTCTCATATTTGACGTCATTTTGAGTAAGCGTTTGTCGGAACGTCATATCTATTATGTTGTCTGGCATTATATTTCTGAAGTAACAACATTCAAAAAACATTCAAACAGATATGAAAAATGTTGATAGGAAATGTGATATCTGCTTTAATTGCAAATAACAGTTAAGTTTTTGTGATTTTTTTTAATATATGATTTATAAAGACACTGTAATATAATTCTGGAAGTTTCCTACAGTATATTTAAGACATTTGAACGAATTATTCTTCAAATTGACTTAATGTATTAATAATTTAGTTATGACATATGTAGTTATATATTGATGTTATAGTGGTATACCTTAGTAAATCAGCGAACACATCCGACGTCTCTACAAAAGCTGTGGATTTCGCTTCTGTTGTTTCTGGACTCGCTCCAACACCTTTGAGGACAAAATATATAACATGATTATAACAAAACCGAACGATAGAATTACAAAAAATAACTTTAGAGTCTATGCAAATCAAAATACCAAAATATTTACTCAATACTCATCAGTAACCAGATCACTGATAGTGAAATTGTACTAAATACAAACAGGTAAATAACATCTTTCAATACTAATTTAGAGTTAGAAACACTAAAGCAAAATAACAAATGAAACTGCATCATATAGCTGTTTCATCCTCTCAAACTCGTCTGTGATGATGATACCATCCATTTTGAAATACCATACCGATAAAAAGAAATGGAAACATTCTATATGGGGAGATGCACTATTTCACAAACACCAATCTATTTCTTAATTTTCATGGATCTGAAAATTTCTGGAGAACGTCAAAAACATGTGTATTCCGGACCGTGCCGCTATTCAAATGAACTGAAACGTTATGAAATATGACGGGGACTTACAATCCGCCGCAGTGTACACTAGGATTTCTAATGTTATTTAGAACGAAGACCTTTACCTAAATCTCGAAATAAAAGCGATTGCGGAAATTGGTACATTTACCTACAAAATACGATAAATCAAGTTCTCATTCACAGATTATATGCAATAAACTAAAGCGTCAAAGTATACAAAACTAAGGTTTGTGCCAACTAGCATGTAAAACGATTACGTCGAAAAACAGAGGTCATCAAGATTATGTTGTTAATAATTAAACATTTGTAGACAATCCAAATTGAACGGATTATTAACAATAAAAATAAACATGATTGTTTTGAAAAAGCAAGATAACACCAACATCACAACCTAATGTAAACTCAAATTCCATAAAACAAAATATGAACATTAGAAATATTAAAATGAAATAAAATAATAAAATAAATAATAAAATAAGGCTCAAGATAGATTACAAGGAGATTAAGATCATGTGTTCCGGAAGAGTAAGCGTCTTCTACTACATCGAGAACACCAGCAAAGTAAACCTTGGTCATTGCAAGTAAGTAATGCCACGTTCCCAAATGAGAAAATGGTATACAACAAAGTTACCAACAGGAAGACTAACGAACATCAATTATAGAACTGGCTGATGTTTCCATGACACAGTGTCGGAAATAATCAGCCTGTAATTAAGTGAGAATAAGTGTACAATAAAAAATGTCTACACGGAAGTTATTTTTTAATCTGATGTAAATAAAACTGTACCTGGTTTCAAAGCAATGGCAAATATGATAGCTATGACACAGGCGAGTACATTCGTGATGTTGATGAAGATAAACGCCACAAAACTTATGCGACCGTTACATTTGGCGTCCAGAGATGCTGAGGCTTAAATGAGAAAAAGAGGAGAATATATTCAACTTTATTCTTTTGAATTAGTAAGCACAAACAAGAAATTAATATACGACGGAATAGTCTCATATCTACTTTCAAGTTATAAACAATTGCTTGGTCACATACATGTTCGTAGGTTATCAAAAAATACTTAGCAGAAACAGTAGATCACTGACTTGGGTCAAAGTGGGTGATTTCGAAAAAAAAAATTAAGCGATCACAGATCAAACCGTCATCGCCGAAGTATTTGGTGAATACTAAATCAAAACAACGTTTAACGGTCCTCGAAAATTCTTAAATGTTCGTATAGTAGATGACTTCACCTGGAATTACACTAATGACAATTAGAGGTATGTCATTACTTTTAATTGCATTACCGACAATGAGAATGATGTCATTACTTTAAATTACACTATCAACAAATATAAGTATGGCCTTACCTGTAATTAGACAACTGTCAATAGAAGGTATGAACTTACTCGCAACTACACTACTTGCTGTGAAATGAGATGTGTGATCTTACCTGTAAATACACTATGACAATGAGAGGTATGATCTTACCTGTAATTACACTACTGACATTGAGAGGTATGACCTTACCTGTAATTACACTACTGACATTGAGAGGTATGATCTTACCTGTAATTACATCACTGATAATGAGAGGTATGATCTTACCTGTAATTGCACTACTGACATTGAGAAGTATGACCTTACCTGTAATTACATCACTGATAATGAGAGGTATGATCTTACCTGTAATTACACTTCTGATAATGAGAGGTAAGACCTTGCCTGTAATTACACTACTGACAATGAGGTATGATCTTACCTGTAATTACATCACTGACAATGAGAGGTATGACCTTACCTGTAATTACATCACTGATAATGAGAGGTATGAACTTACCTGTAATTACACTACTGACAATGAGGTATGACCTTACCTGTAATTACACTACTGACAATGAGAGGTATGACCTTACCTGTAATTACATCACTGATAATGAGAGGTATGATCTTACCTGTAATTACACCACTGACAATGAGAGGTATGACCTTACCTGTAAGTTCACTATGATGATGAGGTATGACCTTACCTGTAATTACACTACTGACAATAAGAGGTAAGATCATCAGCTTTAACATCCTGATGAACAGTTCCCCCGGCATACCTGTAAGTCCGAACAAACGAATACATATCATACATTTTGACGTATTTGACGGCATTGGGAATTAAAATGACAAATTGAGCTGAACAAATAACACAAACTAACAAGGTATGCTATCAATCGGAAGCCAAAGGCGTTAGAAAGTAGAGCACACATACAAATCTTCTGGAATGGAATGTGAGTATGTGAGAAATGTAAATAAATGTAACTATAGAACTATGAATGTGAACAAGGCTATGAAGAAGAGATCTTGCTTAATAACAAATATATTTCACAAGTGTGTGCAATATTTTCGTATTTTTCACGAGAGTGCAGGATTAGTGAAAGATGCAAAAAATATTAGACATACGAGTGAAATACATTTTTTTGTTACCGAAGACACTATCAGATATTCGATTTATTACATTTTTACAAGCAAAAAAGCCAAAAAATTCTGGCATGTTTAATACAGATATAAAAGGAGAAAGCTGACTAGGCTTTACGCGGACACTTCTCACTCATTATAACTTAACAAGTGGAAAATAACAAAAACGTTTTATTTTTTACTAGTGAACAAACTACACTGTTATCAATGATATTTCATCTACCTCATGTCTAAAGCTACTGAGCCTTCCGTGGACTTTATCTTTGAATTACAAACAAATCACACCTCAGCTCAGAACTATCGGTAGCAATATCTACAGGCTATAAAAAACATGCATACCAATCCAGGTGAGAAGCTCGGGAGAGGCGTTTACCTCTCGGATACCGAACCCTACAATGAAACCGATGACAATTCCTGCGGTAGTTAGCAGCAGCAAAAAGTTATCGTTTACCCATCGTCTAAGAGGTGAAATCCTTCTGTTGGCAGTCATATTGTCGTCTGAGTCGTCATCGACATCTGCCATTGGATTACTGTAAAAGACAAAGCAGAGGTGAGATACCAAGAAAATACAACATGTCAACATAATCATAATCTAAGCTCAGATTCAATTAAACTAGGGCAAATGTGAACAAAAGAAAGTTTTACACGGAGACCCTTGTATAAGTCCAATGAAAACAGACCAGGTGTTACGGACGAAAAGCGTCTTCTGCTTCATCGAATTATATGTAAACTAGCTAATATGCCTGTTTGGGAAATACAAATTATGCTAGATTAATGAGAATGTCTTAGAGAGAACAGAATGTCTCATATATGTGTATTGAATATTTCAATATTGAAAACAAAGGTATATTATCGTTTATAAACATTAAGTAACCGTTCTCTTCATCTTATATACATCTTACATCTTACATACGAACATACACCACACTTAAATACCAAGTAATCCAGCATGTAAATTGATCATAGATTATTGTATTTTTTTAAAGTTCATCAGAGATTTATTTTAGACTCTTAATAGGGTTTATACAAATACAGTGGATTATGTCTAAACCGGTCTCTATGCAATCCGAATGTCTGCCTAAACCAGCCCAATAATATAGTCCCAATAATATTATACCAATTAATTCCCTACAATCCAAAAATCTGTACAAACCGGCCTGATTAGCTGGTCCCGAAGAAGCTCGGTTTTGACAGAGACCACTGTACTGTCCTCAACACTCCATTTGTAATATGTATTACCTATTGAAAATCATAGTACAAATAATCTCCTACCTTATTACTGTCAAAGTAAGGTTAATATTAAATATGAATGTATATATTGTTATGTTTTTTAGGGAGAAGGCTAATATAGGCTTTGCCTATTGCCCAATTCCCATTGTACATAAGTGCAATAACATATTCTGAAATGAAATAATAGATTTTTATTTTAAAATGACCTCTTGTTTAAATAGTTTTGAATTAGAAATTTCTTGGTTGAAAATCTAGCCTTCAAATTGGCATAAGCTCGTGGCCGGTGCGGACTAAATGGAATTAACGTCGTATTTCTAGAAGGACGAAACAGCTGTATGATGCAGTTTAATTCATTAGTTGACTCCATTGTGTGTTTTTGTACAATCTTTTTACAAATAAATTAACCATTATTTAACCAGTAATTGGATAAAACATTTAAGTTTCACATCTGACACCGTATTTGTCCGGAAAAAGGTCACAAACGTGACGTTGTAGCCAGATACTATGCATTGTCATCAATGCTCAGTATATCACAGGGGTAAAGAGCTATTCACTTTAGGATATTACCATTACCGTTCCGGTCATCTGACAAAAAGAATCACATCTTCTCCTGTTTCACAAATGAGATCGGTCGCAAAATTGCCTGGATTGATCCTGAATCGTCAGGATTTTTTTCAAGTCGGTCTGATTTACAATATGGACGTCATCTTAAAAGACATTTAAAATCTCCCTAGTTCCGCTACAGCCATCACGCTATAAATTGGCGAGAAAGCTATTGACAGATAGGCGACAAAGTGTGGTTAATCTTTCGTTTCCTTTTCAACATGGCACCGACGGCGTCCATTCTGTAACATGATTTGACGACAGCAGAGATTTTCTGACCAACACCTATTTCAAACCTTTTCAGCAGTGGAAGTCGCCTCAGACTAACAAAATTGAGCTTCAGATAGTCTGAATCATGTGTTTTACTATTCGGGTCGGTCTGATATCAAATATGGCCGCTGTGATCGCCATCTTGCGAAAACATATTTATATTTGTTTCTCAGTTAAATCTCGTCAAGTTTGACATAGCAGTCGCGGCGGCCATTATGTAATATGATGACGTGATCAGGTCTTCCCTTAACAACATCATGCTTTAAAACTTGTTTTGAAGTTCCAACAATGGAGTTATACAATCCTTTCATTCGGACGACCATTGAGGTCCAAGCGATTCTTGTTGCTTTACCTCCTATAATTGATAAGTCAAGCTTAAACGGGAACAAATAGACCTTGAAATGTGGACAAAAGACTCGCAAGACTGCAACGCCGTTCATACAAATTTAGAGTTAGATAAAATAGAGCAAAACAAAGAATGAAACTAAACATTACAGCTGTTTTGTTCTCCTAACATTCGTAGATGATGCTAAAACTACATTAACAAAGAAGTATGACTAGTATAATCTCTGTCAAGTCATGATATACCAGTAGATAAGCTTAGTAAACCCAAGTGCTATGACAGAGTTACACCACAACAGAGGGGGTGGTGACAGCTTGAACATACACGTGATTTATTGATATTTTATCATTGATCATTCAGTAGCAATATTTTCCCTTTTATTCAATTCAAAAATAGATTTATAAGCTTAAAGTAATAACACATGCGAATATATTAACACCAGCTGGGTTTTTTTTTCAAATCGAGGCGAAAAGCGTTCCTGAAAAAGTATTAAATGTCTTAACAACGCTTTTTGAAAATCAGATCAAGCAATAATATATATAAGTAAACTACAGTGTTTGTTGGAGCATAAATGTTATGTGATTAAAATCAGCATTATGTGTCTACAAAGGCAGGTACTTCAAACTGAAGTGAAAATGTGTGCATTTAACAGCTTATGGCACTGGCGTTTTCACCACATCAGTTGTTCGGTGCTTTAAAGTTTTTAGGGATTCAAATCGATGAACAAACATGCAAATATATATGCGCTGACGATATATGCTTACTAAATTTTTAAAATAGTTACTGATAAAATGGTGAGTAATAAGAATATTCTACGTGGAAAGTTCTTTTTCTTTCTATTTCATGTCACATGATATAAAGGCCACTCCTGACATGACGTAAGAAAGCTATTTAGGGTGCATTTACGTTTTAGGTAAAGTGGATGTTACCGATTAAATATTGCGTTCTTGTGTAGTCGTAGTCATTAATTTGAAATTAAATCTAATTTATAATGAATATAAATATAATAAAAAAAACATGAAACTTATCATTTTCAATGGGCGGTGAGCAGAAGACGTTAATTGAAGTTTCGCTATTTAAAGGTAGCGCGATTTTGTGATGACCGACATGTCATCTCTCTACATTTAAATGGCTAACATAAAGTATACAGTATTTATTTAATGGGTTTTACGTCCACTCTTATGGCCTTTCGGTATATAGTGTAGTAAAGGAAATATTTATCCGTACTTTAAATAAAAAGATTAATGCTGTACCGTCCTAGGTATTTCATTTTAAAGGTTAACTTTGGATATTGGTTTATTTTGAATACATGTACTTCTTACAAAAAAGGCACAAGAATCACGTGTCGATATTACATTGATTTTCAGAAATTTATAAAAATTATCGAAAGCGAAAGCCGTCAGTAGACCAATCATAACTGTAGTCTACTTTAAGTACTTGGTAAACCAATTATAACGTACTACAAATATCAGTGCGTGCTGTATACATAAATCATTTATCATAGGTGTATATAGTTCATTTCGCATTAATCATTCACCGCTCGATAAATGTTTAAATGTCTTACTTTCCCTGTATTTTGCTACTTTCCTTTGCCCAGTGAAGAATATATATATAGTTATGCTCACCATATATCATCGAGTCCGTCTATCATTCTTTGATGGTAAATCTCTACTCCACCTTTCACACTATATGTATGCTATGTACGTTCTATACAATACATGAAGTTTCGCTATCTAACGGTAGTGAGATTTTGTAATACACGATGACCAGCATTTCATACATGTAAATAGCTAGAGTAACGTTTACAGTGTAGGTAGGAATAAAAACAAACCACACGATCTGTAACACACACGCGCGCACTCACACACCCCAACACGAAGGAAAACGTAAGTTAGCACTTACCTCTCAATACACGGTGTCTCCAGGTTGGTCAGTTTTGAATATTTATAAAAGAAAATGATATCGATCTATACGAGGTATTCAGCTGTTGCCTGTGTGTGTATAAAGTGTAAGACACTTTGAAGCGGAATGAGAAGGTTTAGTACAACCGGATGTTTATGTAGTGTTTTGTCATGGTCTATCTATTACCCTCTTATTTTTCTGATGTACAGGAAAAAACCTAATTAATGGCGGCAAACTTGCGCTATCGCTATATCGGACTGAATGACAAGTCCCGTGATGTTTATCAGTACAATATCATTACCTATGACGTCTTAGACATACATCTATTACGTAACATATATTTACTCTAACACTGCCAACAAAGGACATACACTTCAAAATCTGTTCGTGTATTTGTTATTTAACACGGCTTAGAGAGGCTGAGTTGTATTTAGCATAATAATATTTTCCACGACACACGAACATCTGTTTTTCCAATTATGTTTAATACCATTTTTATTTCTAAAATGATATTAGGTGTTTCTAATTCCTGTTATTGACCCGGATATAGCAGTATATGTCAAGAGTCATTCCTGAAAAAGCACTGGGGATTCGCAAATAAATGTTTAATGAATTCACTTATTCAAGAAAATACCACCACGTTAACAGAGTTATAATCCAAATCCAAATTCAATAAACCCAGAGCAAATATGAACAAAAGAAATTTTCCTTAAAAGTAAAATGAGGATACGATTTGGTTCCGGCAAAGCAAACGACTTTTCCTTCATCGATGCCATTCGTCATTTCGAATAATTTATGGTGAGCTAAACTCAATTGTATATCACTGTGGTATCAGTCGGTAGAATAGATAACACTTATTGATCATTTAGAATACCGATAATTCATTAAGAGGGCATCATCATTTCTATCTATGTACTCCTGGACATATGTAGGTATGTATCTTTTATTGTTTTATGATCCATATGTTTAAAATAACTTTCATTTTCTGGATGTTTGTCATTTGTTTTCATAACTTCATCACTGTATTCGATGACAATATCACCTGACACGCTTGATTTTGTGAACATATATGCACATCAATTTCGATCATTTATGTTCTAATATGAACGTTTTCATATATATAAATGTTCTGTTTTTCTTGATTGATGAAACAAAATGGGGAACACTGGAATTTAATGCAGCAAGTTCTTATACTTATCACATATGAGGTAAAACGTCACCAACAGCAGTGTTGTTGAAAGTGACGGCTAACTTGCTAAGTTGCTAAAGACGTTTTAAAAAGGCATTTCTTACCCAAACAAATTACCGCATTTGATAAAACTTATTCATGGACGGCAATATTTGATATTCCGTAACGTTATTCAACTAATTTAAACATTATGAATAGAGCAAAGGTTATAGAATGTTCTAACCATAGTCACTATGTCGTATGGTGTAGACACTATCAGACTCTTGTTAACATTCGGATGTCTTAGGAATACATAGCCTCAACATTAACCCACCTACGGAACCATCGGGTTGTCTTAGGATTGTTCTTATGTAAATGTTAATTGTCATTGTTAATCTAGGAAAAGAAAAGGAAATAATGATTGGGGAAATGTACATTGTACATAGGTATATACTCCCTTAGGTCTCTTGATATCATTATTGTTTTGCATACGAAATTTCATTGGAATGTCATCTGTTTCTTCACAGGATATCGGGTATTCTCTGAATAGCAATAAAAAATTAAAGACAGAATCATACTTGATTCCTTACACAAAAAATGATGCAGAAATTAAGCAACAATCTTCTACGAAAAAAACAAGTAAATACATTTAAAAATTAAATATTTTATTATAGTGTTGTACATTTAAACGTGTATCATATAAAATCCGAAATCAACAGCTACGAGCGGCAAAGTACAATAGTATATTTAGGTTCGTTGTAAACCCTAAGCCATTTTACAAATATTTTGTAAATGCTATCACAACAGCCATCATCAAAACATATAAACTGGAAACAAACATTTGAATTTGACATTGTTTTTCAAATATCAATTTATTGTTTCCTCGAGTTAAGTTTAACGATCAAAACGTGATCTTCATTGTGTAAACGCATGTCAAAACAAAATAATCAAGGCACGTGTGTATTAGTAACGTAAAGGGAGCGATAAACACCTGGCATTACTTACCAGTCAACAGGGAATGCAAATAAAATAAATATAGAGAACATTCTTAATTGATGAACGAGTCACATTTCATTGATTAAGGTGGAAATTCTAACTGTTGTTTGTCAAGCAACAAGGTATTTATCCCGTCGAATTAATCGCCTTTAATTGATGCCAATTTGAATATACCATTTTCTCTAAATACACAATAAAAGTTGATTATAATGTCATATTTCACAACATTTAGTATAGTGGAAGGGTGTAACATGTAACATGTCCCTATGATATATATCTTAGTGAATGTTTATATAACATGACGTTAATAGGTTATCTAAAATACAATATCGTTTAGTTTATACATGTACTAATCAACCGGGCATCATTACCAATCAACTAGATATTGATACAGTGTTTCCATAGATCAAAATATACATAACTGCGCGATTGATAAGGCTGGTGGAAATAAAAAATATGCAGATGAAGACATTAGCTGATTACCCTCGCGACCAAAAGTGACAACAGCGATAGAAACTCATTCAAAAGTGTCTGGCAACATACCAGATAACAGTATATCAGTTCATATCCGTTTACATTTCAGCTACTTTTCTTATTAGGAAAATTTATCGGATATATGAAATGGCATTCCGAGGAAATCAAAATCAATATTGTTTAAGAAAGAGCTGACCCCAGTCGGCCGGGAAATGGCGATAGTAAGATCATAGTGATGGGTCAGATTAATATACCTGTCTATATACTATCAGGCGCATCTTAACGCACATTAAAAATAATGTAAAATGTTGATTAGGACATACAAATACACTTATAGCGGCAGAGAAACTATACAGATTTAAAGGATCGTGTACTTGTCAGTTAATATCAATAAGAGAATTAATAATGTTACCTTGGAAAATATGAGTAAGACAGAAACAAAACAAAAACGACACCGAGAAAAGTTTATACAACTCAAGTACAAAAGAATACAATTGATCAATATATGAAAAAATGTATTTTGATCCAGTGTTCACCACAATGAAAATGTACCGAATGTCATCGACTAGGGCAACTAGGGCAAGATTTCATACAAAGTCAACACTTAGGGATAAAATGAAACTAAGGATCTCGTCTAAAAGACGTGCCTTATCAGCAACAAGGGCAAACTGTAATACAAAATCAACGTTTATGGATAAAATGAAACTAAGGATCTCGTCTTAAAGACGTGTCTCATCAGCAACAAGGGCAAACTGTAATACAAAATCAACGCTTTGGGATAAAATGAAACAAGGTATCTTATTCAAAAGACATGTCTTATCAGCAACAAGGACAAGCTGTAATACAAAATCAACGTTTAGGGATAAAATGAAACTACGGACCTCGCTAAGGAGGACATATCACCGGGTCAACAAGGAACGCAATGTGAGATTTCTAGCCTACAAAACCAAAACGGTTAGTAATGTCATTAGTGAAGGATTTATCTCAGTCAAAATAATCAAACACGAAAGAAATCTATGGTACGGTGGAAATATGACACCGTGTTGTAGAATACAGAGGTAGGATATCATTTCCGGCCTCACACATGGTACTTTACAAGCTTGTCACAATGTTATAAGCACCAGGTGAAACTTTGATTTGATTATCATGTTTTGCAAAAACAAATTGTTATGCATATCCCTTAACAGAAGTGTTATTACACAAATTGCATCAAACAAATTACCAAAAATTAAAAAAAACTTTTGTACTTGTCTTGCATTTAATTTAAAAGTGATTAACTATTTGAGATACATAAAATGTTTTAACTCATATTAGAGTGAAAACCATTTACCGTATATAATTGATAGGTATGCAACTATGCAAATTATCTTTCAAAGTCAAGTCTTTCAAAACATTAATGAGGTGATAACTGAGATCGTTTCAGAATATGGAGTTTAGGAAAACTTGGATTGTGACAGGTTAGATCTCATCCATAAGTAATATATACAATAATGTTACATTGAGGCTGGAGGCAGAGATAATAAAATAGTGTCTGAAATGGTAACACATTGAAACGTGAGTTAACAACGGGGAAGATTGTTGCAAAATTCGAAATGATAATAGAGTTAGATAATAAAATAAAATGTGAAATAGATCTTATCCATACATGTAAATAAAACTTCACAGGAATGAATTGCTCCAGAGAAGGATTGCTATAGCTCTGATCTAGATCTGCTATAAACATGATTCGTACTTCAACTTCAAATAAGTTATCGACAAATGTCATTGTGCAGGAATATGAAAGTCGAAAAGGAGAGGGTGGTTGTATGAAATTGTAAGATGAGGATTGTATCTAAACAATGATTGTTAGGGTGATCTAAACATTAGTAGATATGGTTGTAACCCATTGTATATGTTTACAACCTACTATGACAATATCAAGGACAGGAATAGTTTTCGCTTTTTCCTTTGTTTATACATAACAACACACACACACAAGCTTCAAACATGTTCGGAAAGAAAGTAATAATAATAATAATGATAATAGTAAAATATTATGAAAGCACACCATTTAAATGCAGTCACCAGTAAACATTTTACTGTATGAATGGTCATTAAAAATATCAAATTCCAAAATGACATTGTATAAAACATTATGAAAAAGCTGTCCAAATGTTGAAACATATCAATTACTAATGCTGACCAGTAACATTGTAACGGATAAATATCGTTTTTACACCATTGCTTCTGCCTCTTTGTCTGCTTTTTTAATTGGTTCATTCAACTTTCCAAGGAGTTCCAAACTTCTCATCATGTCGAACTTTCTCCGTACCATAAGTTCGGGATTCCTTATCAGTGTGTACGCTGTTTGCCATCGAAATAACGCCTGTCTAGACTTGCGTTGGGCATCTAAGTTGTCAATGGATTCACCATCTGGTAATATCAATAAAGACAAGTTTTGATGTGACTTATTTTTATAATAGGTTGTATATCAAACTAAATTCATTTGCCACAATAACGTAATAGTTATTTGCTCGATGTTCGTATCATAACTGGGAAAACGTTATAATGATTAAACCTATGTCAAAATTTATGAACTTTCTGTTAAATAATTCGGATTCTGGAGCAACGGTATGATTGGAAAGAACCCAATGACTGTTACTAGGTGTTCATATACAATGTTTAATTTTTTCCTGAATAGATTTTCATTGCCAAATATGTGAGTAAGGGACAAGTATAATTACATCGCAATGAAAAGCTTACAATCTTCCTTGCCGGGGTTGTCCATTAATTTCAAGAACTGAAACCGGCCAATCACAAAATTTAAGTAATTTCATTATTACATAAACGACATACTCACTTCTCTCAGTTAAATGAATATATTTCGACTCTACGCGTTTTCGTCCAGTTCTTGTTATCGTAGTTCCAGCAGCCAATTCCTTTGTTTTTAGTGTTTCTATTTTTAGCATTTTGATGAAAGTAATCGCAACGGGATTTGTATGCTCACTTTCAACGTACATAAACCCACAATATGCAGCAAAACCTAAAAAACAAAACAAAAAAAAAAAAAAAACAAAAAAAAAAAAAAAAAAAAATAAAATTTTTACAAGTGGACCTCGGCGTTCAGTATTCGAATGTCTGAAATTTCTACCTTAACTCCTTCCACATTGTATAAAATAAATTTATTCCACCTGGCAGTAGCTATCTAAATTATCTATAAACAATGAACTTCATTTTAGGAAAGCAAACTATTACAATTAAATCACTACTATTTATCTAGATTAAAGAGTGCGGGGTCATACAGTGGGATGAGACAGAAGTGTGTATAGAAAAACCTAAGGGACGGGCAGATTACCGCGTACGTTTTCACATTTGATCAGAAGAATCAAGCCACATCCTCCTAGATAAGAGTCAAGTGAATTGAATCTTCAACACTCGACCCCTTATCGAGGAGTTGCTATACATTTAGAAAGCCGAAAAATCAGAAATGTCAATACTCTTTGGGTTGATAAAAAAGAAACATCTCAATTTTACATTTGCAGTAAGCTATTCGAAATTCAGAATAATAAAGATATTTAATATGAAAAGACAATGCAATATTATAATTTTCTATAAAGGCTGACCTTTTTCGAAGTCATATTCCATTAACCTACAGATTTTTCAATCAGTGAGAAAATGTTCGTACCTGGATCAAACCACTGGAATCGCCTGGGCAGTGTGCTGTGGTCCAGTCGTGGGAGAAAGAAAGCCCCAATTGCTATGGCCTTAAGGATCCTCAATAGGCACGAAACCAGACCCAGGAAGATGTTGTAAAAGAACATAAAATACACCACGACGAAGAACAGGCGTCTGAAAAAACAAGCGCATCAGGACCGTCAGTACACCACAATGAAGAATAGACACCTGTTAAAAATACCACATCAGGACCGTCTGTATATCACGTTGACTAACAGACATCGGAAACAGAAAGCATATAAAAAGTATTAGTGTATCATCATGATGAAAACACATCTAACGCAGTAAGTATATCTGGACGGTCAGTGCATCACAATGAAAAACTAATATACAAGAACGTTCAGTACAGCCAGATAAGGAACAGCGGTCTGAAGAAACAAACATATCAGAACGTTAGTTACAGCCAAATGAGAAACCGACTTTTGAAAAAGCAAGCATAACAGAACTGTTGGTACATCATACTGAAGAACAGAGGTCTGAATAAGAAGTATTTCGGAAATATCAGAATATTAAAATGAAGAACTAAGATCTGCAAATACAACTAATTGCACAGCTCACGAAAGAATTAATATCTGAAACCAGAGTTAGATGTACAACACAATAATGAACGAATGAATGAATAAAATCGGTATCGTTTTAATACCCATATTATTCACTGTTAATATTTCGACACAACTTAAAACAAGATGGTCGACTATGAGTAATGCCAATTCTCTGCTGACATCCTATATATCAACGGATATAAATAAGTCGCAAAATACGTGTCACTTAGTGAAATTTTGAAATACCGCAGAAAACCTAGTGAGAAATTATGAATAAGTATTTTAAGAAGCAGTTGAAATTACCTCCCCTTTTCCACTATTTTTTCTATATATTGCGATGGCCGACAAGCGCCTGACAAAATACTTTTTTCATTTTAATTTGTACCATTCATGGCACAGAAAGATATGAAAAAAGTGCACATTATTATACTTTTTTTGTTCCTTTCTGTACCGTAAAATGATACAAAAAGGAAGGTATGAAAAGATATGACAAAGTGTAACGATGTAGAATGGCATCGGAATGTTATAATATGAAGCTATATCCAGAATGACCCTGAACAGTAAATCTGTGTTATGACATCCTTATCAGGGTATTGTGATACTTGGCAACCTTTCATTCTGGTGGTTTCACATGTTTCTGTACCATGGCTGTTTTCGGCCGTTATTCTGGTACAGAAACATACAACAGCAATGAGATTTTTTCCCTGCTTTCAAATCAGTTTGTACCAACAAGGATACACAAAGAGGTGAATTTTCACATCTTTTTGTGCCATGCAAAAGTGTACCATGGAACAGAATGATATAAAAATTCAATTAATTTTGTCAAGCTCTTGTTGGCCATCGTTATATATTTATATACAGTACTAACTATACATGTATCCTTAAGGTAAATGATGTTCATAATCATTATTTCGTGCATCTCTATTTTTGTGTATATGATACATATTCCAGTTTTACTGCAATTGTGTATTGTTATTTAATTAATAACACGGATGAATTACTTAAAATGATATCGTACTTTGCAGATATTTTGTTTTTACAATATGACTTTGCAAAAAGTCTCGATTGTCTCGATTTTCATTTAATCAATTTACAAGATACAACATACATATATCTTACCTGTTGTTTAAAGCCAAGAATTCTCCTCTTTTCTGAAGGAACACACATCTTGCCATTAACAGCTGCATGATGTTAACAACCAACGTGGTCAATAGAACGGGCCTGTTGTGACATGAAATCATGAGATCATTGTGACATAGCCATAACATTCTTTATCAATGGTTTAGATACAGTGTATCAATCCTATTATGTAATTAGAAGTTGTGTCAATGTTAAAACATTATGAAGAAAAGAGTGAAATTATTATGAAGTCTGGTATAATTTACAAGCAATGTGTTATTAAATACGGATGATAGACAAAAACTGGATCAATATCCAAACTAAACGCCTTACATGGAAATAGTTTTGACTCCGTGATATCTCTACAGTACATGCTTTACAATTACATTGATATGGAAAACCTAGCCATATTAACGTTCTTTTCGTACTTGTTTGTCTACAAAATAACTGAAGACATTAGGTGTATATTATAACAAACGAACCCCATATTTTAGTTTAAAGCAAGGCTGCAGAGTCAGCTTGTAACATTCAATATAGCTTCATATCATGTCAACTCGTAACGACCAACTGGACATCGAAACAAGAAATGACCCTATCTCTTTAATAAGTGTTAACTTACCACACTGCATGGATTTTGTCAATGATCCAACCACCAATTCCGAACTGGAACATTATGACAACTGAGGCTATCACTATTGACACCACAAATAGAACAATGATCTGCACAAAGTACCCTACAACACAAGAGACATCAATTGGCATCAGTTTGTATTAACAGAATCGTAAATTTATAACAGAAACCACGTAGTCTTGAAGCATATTCAGTGAAATATGTACAGGCAATTATTACTCCACATAAAATCTATGAATTATAAAGTAACAAATGAAAGGCCCTTCCTTGTGTGGGATCCAAAAAAAAATCGTATATTATTAAAAAGACACAAAAGATGATAATAGTTCTCACAACAAGTTTAGACTACATGAGATACAGAAGAGTCAAATAATGAATTACAATGTACCACATAGTTGTTTCGTCCATTTAAAGTTTGCCAATTATTCTAAAGACTTAAATTTTGAAACCTAGGGGCGACGGAGGAAAATGCAAAGTGATCGAAAGATTAAAACCTAGATAGGGATGTTCAAAACTCATACATCTATAAGGTAAGTAATTTTATGCATTTGATAATTTAAAAAAAAACATGTACTTGTGTTTATTATGAACCGTGTCATTATTTGAACCAAGAATTCAGATTCATATTTGGCGGTTCTGTTGATACTTATGACAACAAACGTTTAGACGCTTCACTTACCCCACCCTATATAAGCCACTTGATATCCGGCATATCGCATGAATCCTACCTACAAACCAGAAGTCAATGCGTATACATATTTGAAAGAGAAATACCATGTAACTGATGTAAAAATGCAGTCTAGAAAAGAAACATACTTTTATCAAAGATATCGAGAAAATGAACATTCATGGCAATTAATGGACGATAGAAAATAGTACTATTCCATGTTTGTATATTACATGAATATTATATCATGTTTTAATTGATAACACTTTAGGCTGTGCAACGAAGCGGAAGCGAAAATTCTTCTATGCTTTGTATGAGGTGTTGATTTCAGAATGCATGTGTATATTGGTGTATTGTATGTGAAGATTAGTGTCATATTGATAAGTATAGCGTTCGTCTAAAATATGTCTCGGGGATATAAGTAAACATCCATTATCGATTACTGGAGTAACCAAATACTAGATGTTTAAACTTAAATAATAAGGAGAGCACTCTTCCATTTCAAATTTCGATACATAATATAAAAAAAGAAAATATTAACTTCAGAAAAAACGTCCGTATGTTTTCTGTAACATATAACAAACAAGATGTGTTTATGAAACACTATGGCAGCGGTTGCAACAAAAAAATTCAAGTGGAACATTGTATCTGTACTGTGTAAGGCAACAAATAGATAGCGCAAAAGCAAAAGTACCCAGGACCGCTCAAAACAGCGTGAACATTGAAATACTAACTAATTTACTGGCGTTGCTACTGTCTTCTTTCGGTATCAAAAACTGATGGTTACCCTTGTAGGAATCCAAGAGGAACATTCTGTATAAGGAGAACAGAATTAATTGATTAGTTTTCGTTATTTTGTTTGAAAAAATATCATCAAGAATGTACGCCTCTGAGACGAAAAAATAGTATTAAACATTATTTTCTGATGATGATTATTTGAAAGGTTTGATTTTAGAAATTAGATTAAAGCCATAATAATATGTTGCCGCATTACTTTTTATGTAAAGACGCCAGAATATGTATGACAGGAATGTATCCACATAATATTTTTATTTTTTCTTGAATATCAGCCATTCTCTGTTATTTTAGAGGCATTTTATTTAAGATTAATCTTCTACTTTAATTCCAATGGTATGATACTTTGATATTACGAAAAAAGAATAATAGGAAAATGCTAAGTTTTCATTTGATTTAACGGGCTTTAAACTGCATAACAACCCAAAAATGAACATGTTCCAGAATAACTCAAATCCTTTGTTTGACTATCTTTTAGTAAAAACCCATTTGATAGGTCGACATGTTTAGATAAAGCAAGTTTTGAGGATTAAAGGGAGGGTATCTATGTGTTTTGCAATTTTCGCCAAATAGCAATTTCTTTTGAGATCAAGAATTAAGTCCACAGCGAATTGTTTTTCAAAACGTCATAAAATTCGCCCTTTTTAAAGTTATAAATACGACTACAGATAACAAATTATATGAGATCATCAAAGTTCAAGATATTATGCTCGAATTATATGAAATTAAGTTTACTTCAGGTCAAACGTTAAATTAGTATCTTTAAAATGATATCTCTGTTTTATCTTTTAGGGTCAAATTCACAGATAATGGCATTATCATCGATATGTTAGCAAAAGTATAATGTTAAGTTAATTATCATCTGCACATGCATACTTTGTGAAAGCAGAAAAACATCTTTTATTGAAATATCAAACAAAAATGAGAAGAAACTCGATCTTTTTTGGCTGGTACAAGATCTATTTTAGAATTTCATCTTTCTTAAAAGGCTGCCTCCATAACACTCAAATGCTGTCTTCATAACACACAAATGATTCCGCCATAACACACAAATGCTGCCTCCATAGCAAACAAAAGCTGCCTCTATAACACACAAATGCTGACAAAAGAATATATATTTACTGAAACACCTTGTTTTCCTTACAAATTAAACATTACTTATACAGAGACAATATATTTTTTTTGTTTTACCTGTATGTGCAAAGTGAATGCAGTATCAGAACACATCCCAGGACGAATCCACATACCACCGCGGTAAGAAAACAGCCTGGAAAATTAATGATACAAATTATAGTAGTCAAAATCTAGATGGGGAGGTGGAGCAGCCCCACATAATAATAGTTTTACGAACGTACCGTAGCAAATATAATACGCAACTAGAGAGTAAATAACTGATATTAAAAAAAATCATTTATTCTCAGATTTTGTACCATATCTTAATTCAAAATATTCAATCAAATTGTAAAACGATTTAATTTCTGTTCTAATTAATTTTGATAATGTATTATTAAATTTTGTAGATTTCATAATATGCTCTGTCTGGGATTTCATACTCAACTTATAATGTTATCATTTTCAAATCATTATGAAAATAATGTTCATTCCTTCTTGCGATTAGACGAAAAATGTCACATTACATCACTATCGTGTTTACCTTTAACAGCAGAAGAAATATAGAATAGAAGCATAAGTATTTCTCTCATCGATGTGATAGCTTCGTCTTCTCCAGGGACTTCATCAAGTCCAACTTCGACAAGAGCTATTGATAGGAACACCTCCACCCATGAGAAGAGGGAAACAGCCGCAACTATCAATTCCACGGTTACCTTGGCAAAGACAAAGTTGTAAACACAATTAGCAGATTTGATCAGATAGATATCTTGCTTAAAAACTATAACAACCAGAATATTAACTTTAAAGTAGGAACAGCGAGCAGCACATTAAGTCTTTATACTTATGAAAAGTGACAAGAATACTTGTTTTTATGCTATATGTATCGTTACTATAACATTTGTTGTGGTTGATTTCAATTATTTAACTTTATTACTAAATTTAATTGGAGAATGTTCATCTTCCGTTCTTTTTTCTAAATCCTTTCACTCACCTGGTACATAATGATGAAAGCAATAGCAAAGACAGAGAGAACACGACCGGAATAACGAAATTCTGGAAATAGAACACTTTGTATATACATAATATATTTCTTGAATACATGTTGATAAGCATGTAGAAAACGTAAATAAACAAAACAGAGAGTATGTCTGATAATTGGCTTTTCTCAATTGTAAATATTTGAGAAGTCTGCACTGTTCACACAAAATCTGCATATTTCGTAATTGCAAATGTAATTGTGGATATGGGGTTCACGCAATACACAAGATATTGGTGTTATCTTAATCACTGATATCGGCTGTTAAAGTTTTACTTACTCGGAATGTTGAAGTAGAGCAGCTTAGCAGGCAAGGATTTTATTAATACGATGATTTTTTCGCGTATCGTGACAGGCTCTCTGGAACAAAATGGGTGTATAACGAATTGGTAGATTTAAATACAAAACTTCAACGTTTGCCGAAATATTGCCTGGCACTCCATTTTTGTTGGAATAATATGTCAGTATCCTTACTATCAGAGCTTCGCATTCGTTTAAGGAAACCCATTATACAAAATTACGAGAACTGAAACAAAAACAAACAAAAAATGCCAACATATTCCCGGAATCATAATCCAAACACAAATTTAACTAGGGCAAATATGAATGAAAGAAAGATGTACATATAGACTCCTTTTGGCGTTTTCTACGTCATCGACGACTCCCGCCATGTAAATCTCGGTCAGTCAAAGTAAATAATGTCCCGTTACCAAATAAGAAAAAGGTAAACAACATTGAAATTAACAAGTATACCAACGAGTATCAAAAATATCCAAATAAATATCGTACACGGAAATAGAATATTTCTCGTTTAGATCATTATGACGGCTGTAAAACCTCCCTATCATTTCTATTAACCTGTATCTCTCTAAACCTGTTTGTGAGTTTGTCTGTCAGCTGCCGACATCTAGCACAACACTTGTGTTATTGAAGACATGCCTTAACTTATCGAATCCGCTGCAATCTTATCTTTTTCGATTTTCTAAATTTCTGGATTACTAGATATTTGACCCAAAGAATCACCAAAGAGCCAAACACTTGCAAGCAGCACTATGCTGCTGATTTTGTCAAAATTTGCACTAGAAGATTTTTCTGTGTATACTTGAAGTTGTTTTGAGACCTATAATATGGCATCATTTTTCAACCTAATATAACGTACAAGTGATCGATATTTGTGACTTAAGTTACAAAACATAACTGCTATCCCATGATATAAATGACGTCCACCAAAGCGAAAACATCACTATAAAATAATATAAGGTTTAAAAACGTTAAAAGGTTTCAATATAAAAAGAAATATTTTGACAATACACGCGATTTATTTTTGTGACTATTACATAGTCTTTCCATTTCATCAAAAACAACAAAAATACCAACTTGTGTACATAAGCCAAATAAATTTCGTAAAAGTAGAGAAAATTTCTTACGGCTTTGGTGGTTTCGGTTTCTCAAAAAGTTTTCGAACATGAAGTCCAGAGTAACATGTTCTGGCTTCCTCTTGTACATCCCTTGACGTCACAATGTTTCGTCGACGAATCCGCAGGACCAATCGAACCGGAAGACTAAAACACAGGTAAACCTGACACACGAACTCAGGAAACCCTCTGATAACTAGAAGCCCAATTTCCAGCTAGAAGAGCAAAAGGGACAAATATTTATGTTAATTCCGTAAACATGTAGATCCAGTAAGTTCAAGAACTTCCGAATAAAGCTTTAAATTGTTCTTCCTTGAACGCGATAATGGTTAAAAACCATGGTTGTATTATATAGTTGTCTATGTTAACTATGTTCCTGTCTCATGATAATTATCACCTAAAGCCACATCATTTCCGCTGTACATAATAGCTTATATTCTCTGTATTGCAGTTCCTGTATCGCGAAACATCTTTAAATCTATTGAAACCTATTGTGTAAATATTTCTACTTTTCATATTTTCTCTACAATTTCTTAGGCTTTTTTCAGAACCAATCATTAAGATCAAGTCAAGAAAGTCACATTGGAAGAGATTTTCTTTAAAAGAGAAGTAATTTAAGCAAGAAAATTATTTGGGTATTTTTGTTATTTTTTTATTCCTTTTGCGTTTACAACAGTAACGTGTTCAATTTATTTGTTATTTCTCTTAATACCCATATTCATTATATCTATTTCCAAAAACAATATCATGAAATATTTAACACTTATTTGTACTTACGGATGTCAATAAGGGACAGTGGAAGGTTTTGGCGAAGTTCATACCCGTAATAGTCCAGGCGTATAAGATACCAATAATATATCCGGGAATGGAATCCAAGGCCAAGGACAGAAACAATGGGTAATATCCGATACCATAGATCAACATAGACAGCAACAGGATAAAAACTAGAACAGCAACGACAGATAAAAACTGAAATAGTCTCTATATCGTTATCAAGATAGAAACACTCGATTATGGTACCATGAACATGAGAAATATAATTTAATAACAATCAATTTCAACAAATCGAAAACAGACATCCATTATATTTACATAAATAGAAAATGAAAGTCCAAAAACGATCAAAAGTATGTCATTGTGTCATTGGAACAGTACATAAATTTAAATGACCAAGTTAAAGGTTAATATGTTAACAGCATGGTTCCAAACCTTTCAGATAGAGTGGTCCTGAATAGTCGATCGCATACCTCCCCTCAAACACCACACCAGAGCAAAGGTAGGCTATGGAGCCAAATGCAGCGGCGTACGACACTCGATTTGATCGGCCAATGACATCCTGAGGACTACAAAAGTCATCTTATTACAAAGTATTAAGGCTTCATCATCACGTTTACATGTCATTTAAGTGACTTTACTTACTTTGGTTGGCCAATATTTACATGGAGGGTGTCGTGGATGAAACAGAAAAGCTTCCGGATCATATTCTTATTTTACTTTTTCATGAGTCTGCGTGTAAGTATTCTTTTGTTCATTTTAGCCATAGTTTTATTGAATTTGAGTATTAGATTGGGTTGCCATTTGGTATTTGTTTTTCTATTGATTTAGGAATTCTCTTTGTGGCATTTCTATCTACTTTACAAGACTAAATGTGAGTTTTAAACCTGATTACATGTATGTTGGTGGATTTCCAAACAGTCTGATCATATATTCCAGTTTCTGTATGGTTGAATTGTATTAAAAAAACAAATCGTAATCGAATTTTCGGTTTATCCGTCTCCTTAATGTTTCCAAATTAATTGTGGACCTTAGCACCACTAACGAATCCTTAAGGGATGAAACAGCTGTATGATACAGCTTATGTTATTGTCGCCTTTATATCTAATTCTAACTTTGGTTTTGGTTGTGTGGCTGTTATGCAAGCCATTAGGTCAGAGCTATCATGATATTTTTGAAGCCTAGGAGGCGACTGAGGAAAGTCCAATGCTATCGAAAGAAAAGTAAAAGTACGTTCTGAAACGTGTAACTATTCGAATTTATCTAAACGTGAAATGTAGGTTAAAATCAAACAATTTGCCACAAAAAATAGCTTGAATTCTAAAATGAATTGTCATCTTAATTGTAACGTTCTACAACGCAAGCTACTTAGCCCGAGTTAGTCTATCTAACACTGGTGATGTGTAACTTACTACACCAGGCCAGGTCTCCCTCCGCAACAGTCTGTCTTTTTAAATCTCCTTTTCTCTGTGAAGGACAGCAACAATGTAAACACAACCTGCGGAGAAACATAACACAGTAACGTGAATCTTTACGGAATGTATCTCTACATCGATGTTTCTACATCATCTATATCAGTATTTAAGGCTAACAAAAAGTGATAAATATAAATCACACACTTATGATTCCACGCAACCAGCTCAATTTCCTACATTTTTTCTATAATCTTTGAACATGCCCTTTTTTAATCGTCTGCAAAACATTCAAACACGCAAGTGTCCCATCCTACAGTAAAATAACGGTGTTCGATCCTAAAACAAAACAGTGCAAATAATGACATGTGTAATAACCGCAAGAATAAGACTTAGAATATGGTTCCAGTAATTCATTGTGTGGTACCATACGTTCCGCAATGATAAAAAATGGGTATATTAATAGAGGGGCTGAGAAAGTTACGTAAAGGAATAAGATTGAGATATGTTATGAATAATGGCTGATAATTGAAGAAATAAGGATAAACACATGAAAATAGAAGCATTATGATTGGTAAATAAAGAAATAAGGATAAAGACAAATAAACAGAATAAGGATTGGTAAATAAAGGAAAAGGATAAAGACAAATAAATAGGATAAGTATTGATAAATAAAGGAATAAAGATAAAGACATAAATAGGTTAAGGATTGGTAAATACAGGAATAAGGATAAAGACAAGTAAATAGGATAAGGATTGGTAAATATAGGAATAAGGATAAAGACAAGTAAATAGGATAAGGAGGAATAAAGATAAAGACATAAATAGGATAAGTATTTGTAAATACAGGAATAAGGATAAAGACGTGTAAATAGATGAATAAGGATAAGTAAATTAAAGAAGAAGGAGAAAGACTTGGAAATAGAAGAATAAAAGTTGGTGAATTAAGGAATCATGATAAAAACAAGTAAATAGAACAAGGATTTAGATAGGTACATTGTAAATAGGGGAAATAAGGTCTAAGATCGATATATGAAGGGGAATTATGAAGGGATGCATCTACATACCGCTGGACCAAGGACAGCAAGGTAGTACGTCTGATGGTCCACAAGCTCCTCGCATGATGAAGAACTGAAAAAATAGCAAACATTGCGAATGTTTCTACGTAATTCTAAATTGTGTTTAAGATATCATTATCCCCGTGCCATCTTACTAGAGAGTTTGCAGAAAATCTGAGTATATTTCATTGATAGAATTGTTTGTGGACTTTCTTATGGAATCGAATTTATATATTTACGAGACATGACTAAGTTGATGTGAATTGTATCAACTGAAATAAGTGAACGAATCTATGATTATTTTGCACTAGTTGATACCGGTTTTCCCGGTTTTGACACTCCAACTGCTTTTCTTCCATCTTCTCAGGTAAATGCATTGGTGTTAACAGGACAATTTCAGTACATAACTTACAGAGATGCTTTTGTAAACCGTCCCACTTCCAAGATACAAAGTATGGAACAATATTGTTGTACATTGCATATGGAAAGAGCTCTATTCAACGGAATATGAATATTGAAATTAAGTATTAATTATTCGGCTGGTTCTACGACAAAGAAGATTATAATGACGTTCATGGCTACGGTAGTTGCTCATATAACTGTTTTTCTTCCATCTTCTCAGGTAAATGCGTTGGTGTTAACAGGACAATTTCAGTACATAACTTACAGAGATGCTTTTGTAAACCGTCCCACTTCCAAGATACAAAGTATGGAACAATATTATTGTACATTGCATATGGAAAGAGCTCTATTCAACGGAATATGAATATTTAAATTAGAGTAAGAATGAAGAAATAATTATTCGGCTGGTTCTACGACAAAGAAGATTATAATGACGTTCATGGCTACGGTAGTTGCTCATATAACTGCCTCTGCTAATTGAGATAGTACATTCTATGAATGTCTGCTTTGACTGAGACAAAGGCAGATTTTTTTTATATGTATAAATCAAAAGTGACAACATAAAATATATTATGTGTGTTGCATGTCGAAGTTCAGAATTATTATTTTGTCTACTTCCGGATACGTAAAAGACTTGTTTCATGCTTTATAACTGAAATAAAAACGGACGAGCTATTTCCTCCGACACTGGACCAAAGTTAAAAAAAACTACTGTTGGATGTGTTAAACTCACTCAGATGATTCAGTACTATTGGTTTCTTCATATATGCGGCCGAGTTCACCGATTCCAGATAAAAAAGACAGCGACATCTTTGGTATTCAATGGATCTCTATTGGATCTACAAAGTGAACAAAAACAGAATAAAAAAACGGATCTTACATAATTATTACATGGTGTTATCTTGTGAGTTTTTCTTAGATTATTCCATTCCCGTCTTCCATTCAGACCCCACACCCCGTATAGTTACATCCAGGCCAACAAGATATTATTACCATTAGTTTGCGTCTTAAATATTTTAACAACAAATTTAATGTGTATGCAATTCAATTAATTTTATTCTGAAATCATCGAACAATATATAACAATTTAAATGGTACAGAAATACTGATGTAGAATCATGCTTCGATGAAGCAGAAGACGCTTACTCTTCTGGAGTACTTAGTCTTATTCTCCTTGCATTGTCTCCGAAGTCTCCGTTTAAATCTTTCGTTTGTTAAAATTTTGCCCTAGTTTTATGGAATTCGAGTTTGAAGTATGTTGCCGTGTTGGTATTTTCTTTTTTTAGCATCAATGAGACTGTCATGATAAACAAACGTCATTGTGACTGAGGCCTGTTGGCGTCGTTCGCACAAAAAAATACAGGCATTAGGAAAACAAAACACGTCTTCTTCTTAATATGGTCTGATAATTGATAAAAAGCCTTCCAAATTAGAAAATAACGGTAGAGTTCGGTTGGATTGTATCATTATGTGGGAGTACACACGACAAGTGTCTTGGCTTGTCGATATACACAGCTATACCACTTATCGTCACTTCACAATGAATAAAGGATGTATTATATCATTCAATAGTAGCCCGGAAGTGCGAAAGAACCACATCTCCTTCATTATTTGATTGTCGTGGTTTTATAGACAAAATAAACAAATGTACACGTCAGTCAAAAAGTGAAAGAATAAAATTAAATATTGTTAAATAATATAGAAATATCCTCGATTTCTTATAATTCTGATACTACCAGAAATGTTGGTATCAAAATATCACTTCAAGAATAATCTGACACGGTACCCTGAATGAAGAACAAGACAACGCAGGTTGTCATACTTTCGGAATACCCTTCCCCTCCATGCACTGTTTTGTCCGTTGTAAACAGGTGCCTGCCTATCTTCTACCTATCACGGTCATGGATGTTGATACCTTCTGAATACATCTCTCTGTCTCATTAAGTTTCACTACATACTGCATCTCCCCTCTGCGTCTTTTTTCATCAGTTTTGACACCCACTGTCTCCCTCTCCCCGTCTCATTTTTGTCTGTTTTGATTCCCCCTGCTTACATCTACCCAGCTGACCTTACTGTGTCGGCTTTGACACCCACTACCTTCCTCTCCCTGTCTCCTTTTCGTCTGTTTTGATACCTATTGTCTACATCTCCTTGCCGACCTTACTGTGTCGGCTTTGACACCCACTACCTTCCTCTCCCTGTCTCCTTTTTGTCTACTTTGATACCCATTGTCTACATCTCCCTTGCCGACCTTACTGTGTCGGGTTTGACACCCACTTCCTTCTCCTCCCTGCCTCCTTTTTATCTGCTTCGATGCCCTCTGCCTAGATCGCCCTTGCTGTGTCAGGTTTGACACATCCTCTTCTAGTCTCCTTTTGTCCGTTTTATACCCCTTGCCTACATCTGCCTTGCCGACTTTGATTTGTCGGTTTTACCACTAAAACCACTCTTTCGCTACCTCCATTATGCCGTTGGTTTACCTACCCCATAATATTCAATCCCTAAATGTACCTCATTTATGTCAGTTTTGGAACCAACACATCAACCCCTCTCCACATCATTTTTGTAGGTAATAATATTCAATCCCTAAATGTACCTCATTTATGTCAGTTTTGAAACCAACACATCAACCCCTCTCCACATCATTTTTGTAGGTATCTATGACACCTGCCTCCCCCTTTCTCTGATCCCCTTTTGTCACCTTTACTACCCCTGCCTACACCCCCTTGTCTATCTTTGTTTTGTAGATTCGACAACCCCATCCCTTCATTTGTTCTGTCTGTTGTGTCATCCTTACGGACATAGTCACTAACTTTCATACAAATGGTTTCATGGTATTTCACCCCTCTGCCTTTCCTGCTTTTGTCTATCTTACCTATCGCTTACGGAGTAATGATCTGCTGTAACTTTCCCCATTGAAATCCACGATAAAAATCTCAGGCTAAAGAGAATCGTAAGTCAGACACAAGTTTTTGCAATGGTTTACATACTGCTGGGGTAAGAATATTTTATGTACATATACAATATGTGTACATACAATAAAGGGATAAGGCTTTAATAAGTTGAAATAACTTGGACCAAATCTCTTGTTTTAGACAAAAATATGTTTCAAGTCAAGATTGATATCCCAACCGTGCAAACACTCGTAATAACTCACGTTTACACTGTAGTAAACCATCTAGGACCCGCATACCGATACCTATTAACGCATGTCACCATGAAGGAAGCTTTTCAAAATTATGACAAAGAAGATGGTGCGAGACACTGTGTATAATTCCTTCATTTGTTTGAGTTCTTTGTATTGTGGGCAGTAATGGTCCAGGTATGGTATTTTAACTATGTTATCAGGTTCCTTCGCCAAGCTAACCAGTAATAGAACCTAGCACTGAAGTGGTAATATGGGGTTGTACAGATCATTCCACGCCCGTAGAGCTTAAGTCAGCGATGTGGACAAGTGTCATGGGAAACCGCACCGCATCCTGGTCCGTCCAGTCATCGTATTAGGAGTCTAAGTTATCATATACATTTCACACACAATCGTTTGTTTAAAGCTGACAATGAAATATAGGGCAACTGTTCCAACAGAGTTAGCATTAGTCTATTGCAAGAATATATGTTATATAGATAACGATCTCCCGTAAAATGTTCAATGTGAGACGACCCATTTCGTTCCTTTTCGTTTATTGTAACATCGGATGGTGTGCCGTACAGTGGAAATAGTGTTATGGTTAAATAGGTACGTGAAAGAATGTACAGAACAGAGTAAATTGTGCACATATTTCAGCTCTATTTACTACCGTACAACGCCCAATGATTCTCTACATTCTCCCGTCAGAACTGTAATACATAAACAGTTATCGTGCCTTACTCACATTGCTTCGATTCATACATAGAAACGATACGAAACATCACGGACTTACTTGTAAGCGTGGTCAGATCAGCGCCATGTTGTTCGTTGATTGCCCAGAGTAATATAAGGTTGGTTGGGAAGGCAGACTAGGTCGTGGTTATGGGTAGGTAGATCTATAAATAGCAATTACAGAATAGGCTCATTGGAGCATAGCATCGATCTTCAGAAGACTGCCTGCATCTACGTATAATCCACATTTCACCAGTATTAACTTAAATTAATCCGTGATAGCGATGCAGTTTTTAAGATTATCATTATTATTATTTCAAATGCCGACTGAAAGCCAAAAGACCGTGATAGTGACGTAAACCCCATTCATATAAATGAATAATTCAGATATGGCATTAAGCCATACAAAAGTATTGATTGAAACATATATGTGTTATAGAGTATCTTTTTTATAAACTTATTACACCACTCCAAAGTATTAATTGAAGCATATACAGTGTATGTTATATCGTACCTTTTGATAAACTTGTGTCACAATTTCAGTGTAGCATGGACAGTTTAAGATGGAAGTACTCTTCCACATCGTTCATATCATATAAAGCACATTATCTGTTTCTTCCTAACGATATTGGCCACATTCACTATTAACCTTAAGAGCAGATAATCGTATTTTGTAGATTTGTTTTACGTTAACTGTAAGTTGCTTTAAATCAATAAAATTTATGTCCAAAATGACGCATTTATTTATACAGTTCTCCCATTTAGGACTGAAAAGATCTAAAACACTTTTGTTTGGATATCACAAATATGTTCCGGAATCATCTATAAATCTTAATTAATTCCTGTTTAACCATTTTTAACATGTAATCATTGTTAGCGAGCATCTCGACATATATATATAGTTTGAGAAATTCTGAAACTACACTGCATTCTTACATTATGCTATTTCAGAATTTCTCAAACTTGTCCAATATAAAATTACAAATGTGCGAACAACGTACATAGGATATGTACCCAATTCATAATACACTGCATCGTTATTGGACTAAAGTCCTAATGTACGTTCACAGAAATACATGTATTTTTTCTGTATCTGACACATGCAGGAAACCCCTATCCACCCAACAGCTAGTGATCAGTACACTGTTTACATAAGATTCAAAGACCGCTAACTTGGTTTCCCTATTTTTAAAACATAACACACTTTCAAATATTCTAATTTAAAAAAAAAATGTTTTTCTCCTATGTCACCAGTTATGATTTTGTGTTCATCTGAACTCTTCATTTAATTTAAAAAACACTAAAAAATAATTCAATCTTTCCATCTTTCTGATCTGTTCCCCTTACACCGCCATTTTTAATTTCCTTTGATCTTCCCTGCCAATCCTGAATACAGCAATTTGATTTTCATGGTATTTACTGCCAGATTCCACTTTCCCGTGTTCTTTGCCGGGGGTTACTATTATGATCACCGTATCACCCGCATACATAGGCAAAATCATATCAAAGAATATAGAATAATACAGGTGTTGATATGTCTGAAGTATGACAATAACCTCGCGTATATCAGACTGTTATATATACCCACATCTAAAAATAAAGGACCATATGAATAAAGGACCATCACGTTAGAAATCCTAATTATACAAAGAACCATGGATACAAATAAGACTATGTTAAACATGTTAACTAACCAATTATGTTTAGGTATATTTAGAGTACCTGTTGATCCGCATTCTCCGCATGGCGTTAACAGACCAGGTATTTACTGTAGGTGGGAGTCCCTAGTCTGTTATACATGTAAAGGTATAACGAGCGTAGATCTAGACATCCTCTGTTTGTTTACATAAACCCTTATTTTGGTAACGCAGACTTTTTAATCTTTGTTCAGGCATTTCGACAACAATACACATTAAATGCTATACATATATGGTACAGATACAATTATAAT